TTTGATACTTTTCTGTTGTGCTTTGTTACTCTTATAAAGAGCTTTTCATCTCTTTCTGTGACCTGAAATAATATTGTGATCCTCTGTTCTTGAAAGGTTCCATAGAGTTATGCTGTAAAATCAGCTGGTTAAGTTTCTTTCAGTTGCATCTATGGTAACTGAAATATTCAAGTGTGATGTTTTTCTTTTGGGTGAATTTTGATAGTTTGAGAGGAAATCATTTCCTCTAGATTTTGAAATTGATTGTGAATCTCTTCTCTGGTTTATTTTCCTTATTTAGAGTAGTGAGTGGCTTTTCTACATTTCTTAGTGTTTTATTTAGTCATTTTTTAAAAAATGATTTAGTCATTTTTTTTTCATTCAGTTGAGTTTATGCATTGTAAAAATGTTTACATTTTGAGTTTGAATGTGCTTAGTTTATTCACAACCCAGTTGTTGACTAGCTTTTTTGACTCTGAAAAGTATGTAAGGTCTCTTGATAATTATGTATGTGCATTTTCCTCCCTTATACCCAGGATTTTATTTTTTGCTTTTTTTCCTTTCAGGTATTTTCAGTATATATTGTGCCACTACATCATTTGTTACAGTGTCTTACTGTTTTTAGTTAGCACTGCATATTTTTCATTATATTAAAAGAAGATCTGAGTTTATAGTATGAAAGGAGGACTGTAATTGAACTGTCCTTGGGTGGTTATTATCTTAAGTCTTTGATAGATAACTTTTGCTTATTGCTTTGGGGAACTCAGCAAATGTTTTATAAAATAGCCTATACTAACATGACTCTCAATATTTAATAACTACTTGCCTAGGTCATATTGTAGCCTATGAAGATAACTCTCTAGTTGTTAGTTGTTGATAATGTTTTTTATGCCACTCAACATTCAGATATATTTGTTTTTAAGCTTTTAAAATATTACTAGTTTTGACCAGAAACATAATTTTACTGTAAGTTGCAGATTAGATATTTTTAAGGTAAAAGAGTGAAAAGTTTATCAAATAAATGACTTTTCTCACTTCAAAATTGACTTTTATAAGTGAATTTGGTGTATTGCTTAAGACATTTGTACAGAATTTATATTCCTGTCTGAAATGATTCAATTTCTATTGATGCGAAGAGCTGGACCCTTGATCCATAGTAAGACCTTAGTTTTGGGCTGCGATGGTGTTGTTATGAACTCAAGCTAGATATATTACCTTGGGGATGTTACTTTACTTTCTTGTGCTCCCTTTTCTCTTCCATAAAATGAGGCTAGTAAATGGTACCTACCTCATAGGGTTTTTAAAAGGGTTATTAAAAAGGATTATTAGAAGAGTTAACTAATAACTGATGCAAAGCAGTTGGTACAGGGCTTAATATTAAATAGTTGGCCATGAATTTGTCTGTTAGACTGTCCCTGAATGCATGCTTGAAACAGTATTATTTCCTGAATCACTGTGAGCAAGTTGTTAACCCTTGTAAGCTTTGTTCTTTTAATTTGTAAAATGAGGATAATGGTCTTACCTGCTTTTAAAATTCCAATAAAGTAATAGGTGAGTGAATGCTAAATTGCTTACTGTTTTGTATCTTCTCTTCCCATTTTTTGTGGACACATAGTCCTTTCCCTTTTCATTCTGTTATCTCATATGTTTGTTTATCTATGTTAACATCATTTAATTTATGAAGTAAGCATTACCCATACAGTTGAAGAAGCTTCTATATATGTCTCTTACTGTATCACTTTTTCATTTCATTTTCAGCAATTATTCAATGTTTGCTCCAGAGAGAATGTAGTTGTCATATTCTACAGAGGTGCTGGAACAAGTTAAGGAATTTAAATACACTTGCAGTTATCTCGGGGCTTCCCTGGTGGCTTAGATGGTAATGAATCTGCCTGCAGTGTGGGAGACCTGAGTTCAGTCCCTGGGTCGGAAAGATCCCTCGGAGAAGGGAATGGTAACCCACTCCAGTATTTTTGCCTGGAGAATCCCATGGACAGAGGAACTTGGTGTGGGGTCTAAAGGTCTCAGACACAACTGAGCAACTAATGCTTTCACACTAACCTAACTATCCTCCTATATCATTCAGAAATCCATACTGTAAGGTTCTGACTGTTTATGGAATGGAATTATTAACAAGTCTCAGAAAGGCTAGTCATTTTGTTATTAAACAGCCCAAATTTGGTCAAGTAATTTCTTTGAATTCTAATGGCTGTGTAATTCTTTCACCTAACTCTAGTTCCCTTTTCAGGAATTACAGAAAATAATCCCCTTACCTCACCTAGTTTTGTTAAAATTACATTGATTTATATCCTCAAGTTGTCTTTTTTTGTGTTGTGTGTGTGTGTATTCATATATTTATTGATTTATAATTCATTTGGTTTTAGTTGCTCTGTTTGGGCTTTCTCTAGTTGGGGTGAGCTCTTCATTGTGGTGCACGGACTTCTCACTGTGTGGGCTGCTGCTTTTGTTGTGGAGCATAGGCTCTAGATGCACAAGCTCAGTAGTTGAAGCTTAGGCTCCCTAGAGAGGTTGGGCTTCAGTAGTCGCAGTAAGGGGCGGGGGTGGGGGGGGGTTGCTAGTTGGGCTCTCGGGCTCAGGGTTGCTGCACTCAGTAGTTTAGTTGTTCCTTTGCATTGGGATCTTCCCAGACTAGAGATGAAACCCATGTGCCCTGCACTGGCAGGCGGATTCTTATCCATTGCGCCACCAGGGAAGTCCCTTTAAGTTGTCTTTTCTTATTTTCCATTCCCACATTCTCCAAATGTTTTTTAACTATTTACTTATATATTTTTGATATGTTGGGTCTTTGTTGCTTCATGGACTTTGCTATAGTTTAGCAAACATGGGCTACTCTCTTGTTGGGGTGTGCAAGCTTTTCATTATGGTGGCCTCTTGTTGTAGAGCATAGGCTCCAGGATACACCGGCTTCAGTAGTTGTGGCTCCTGGGCTCTAGAGCACAGGCTCAATAGTTGTGGCGCACACTCTGTGGCATTTGGGATCTTTCTGGATCAGGGATGGAACCCTTGTCTCCTGCATTGGTAGGCTGAGCCATCGTGGAAGCCCTGATTTAGTTTTTAGTTAGTGTATTACAACATTTAACACATTTGAAACTGGAATGCATTCTACCACTCATGTTGTCCTATGCTCTCTGTTCTCCAGCCTAGTTGTGCATGATTGAACAGCAAAAATACCAACATCAGAAGATTGTCAGTGGTTTGTAAGAAAATCATGACATAAAAATGACACAACACTCTTTTATCAGCTAGGAATAAAATGATTACTGTGAGAGAATAGGAAAAGCAATGAAATCATGTGTTTAGCCACATTCCCAAAGCAGACATCAAAGGCAGATCTGCTCCATTATTCAATAAAGTTGATAAGGGAAAATAGGGGGCAGTTTTAAATCATTAAGAAGAAAGTTAAGAACCAGTACCAGTGGTTTTCAGATATTTTATGGCTTGTTTTGTTTTGCTTTTAAGAAATGCTGCTTTACTAGGAAGATTCTTAGTGTTCAACAGGGATTATATTATGTGGAAATATAATAGACATTAGCAACTTAGTTACAGTAAACATCCTCAGTGTAAATTTTGAGGAATAGACTATTTTATTTGCCTATTTTACTTTTTATGTATTCACAAAAGTGGTTGATAGGGGATGAAACCAAGTCTTAATTAAGAATGTGTGTGTGCGTGCCAGGTCGCTTAAGTTGTATCTGATTCTGTGCAGCCCTGTGGACTGTAGCCTGCCGGCTCCTTTGTCCATGAGATTCTCCAGGCAAAAATACTGGAGTGGGTTGCCATGCCCTCCTCCAAAGGATCTTCCCGACCCAGTGGAACTTGTGTCTCTTATATCTAACAACCTGCATTGGCAGGCAGCTTCTTTACTATTTGCACCTCGTGAAAAGCCCCTAAATAAGAATAAGTCCTTTCAAAAAGTTTAACATAAATCTGAGTGGTAGAAACTGTGATCGTTTGACAGTGATTTTACCTTTTCTTTCTTAGAGGATTGAAGAAATTTAGTATAGACCATTTTTATAAACCTTTTTAAAGCATACTTTAGTCTGTTACCATCTGAAAAATCTGATGCCCAGAACTGGGCTTAGTACCTTTGATCTCATCCAGTCATTCATTCATTCATGATTCTTTGTAAAATTACTTTTTAAAAAACACTACTAAGTTATTATTGACATAATGAAAAACTGTACATACTAAATGTGTGACTGGATGATTTGGGGAATAAATACACATCCATGGAATTATCACCAAGACTATAGACATCTATCATCTCAAAAGTTCTTTGCAGTCCCTTTATTATGTTAGTGTCCATGTGTTTATATGCTGACCTTACAGAGCTTGTAACCATGAGGTATCACATCTATTGATACTTGAAGTCTTACTAACACCTTTTAGTAGGTACTTACCATTAGTCAGTATGTATTCTGTATCAAGGTAGTTTCTATAAAGTATTCTTATCTTGTGTTGAGGCATTTGAGTTCACATTTTATCCCTGTTAAATTTCACCTTGTTGATTATTAAATTCTGATTGTCATCCAGAGGCATCCTTTCCAATTTCGACTCCTGCATCCTTATTGCATGTCAGTTTAGAACTTGGTTCAACTTTATGTAAATATTCTTTATGTTAGAGTTGTTGAGCTCATGGTCAGTCCTCTTGTACTGCATTAGCATCTCATTCATATATTCTCTATTTTCCACAAGGCGTAGATTTGTGTTGCTAAAAGATTGTCTTATGTATAGTAGTTACTTAAGCAGTTGTATCCTTATAATTTTGAGACTGTAGAATAGAGATCCTGAAACCTGAACTGATCCATGCTGCTTTTGAAGTACTTATAAAATATTCTATTTTCAGTTACCTCCCTACTTAGGTTGATCAGTTATTCAAAAGTATGCCCATTTTATACTTTTAATTTCTTCATATATTGCTTTGAAACTTATAACATTCATGTTTACTGTCTTTGTCACTGTTACATAATTTGAATCTTTGTATTAATATTTTTCATTAGAAATCAATGTGGACTGAACATAAATCACCTGATGGAAGGACCTACTATTACAATACTGAAACAAAACAGTCTACTTGGGAGAAACCAGATGATCTTAAAACTCCTGCTGAGGTAAAAGTTTGTTAGAGATTAAATAGAGGTTTTTTTTTTTTCTTTTTTAAGGGTTTTGGTAGATATTTGGCTTTCCAAAGAATAGTACTGCTTATATCAGAAAAGGATGCTACAAAGGCATTCAGAGGAGAAAAGGGTTTGTACAGTCACACCAGTAAGCAAAAAGACAAAATTCATTCCCTTCTATGAGCAAACCAGTTTTATTTACTGATTTTTACCCCTGCTCAGGAACCTTTGTCAGGTGGTTATCAATTAAAAGAAAAGTGACTTAAAGAGTAAATTGGAAGAAGAAAAGTACTCTTGGTCTGTTTTCCTCTTTATATCAAACCTGAGTGATTTCAGATATCTTCTTCTGGGTGCTTGTTTTAACAATGAAGCTAATGTCATGGAGATGAAGTTAAATTAAAATACTTCCATCTTTTAGGATGGGAAATTATGTCTTTGAAAAATACAACCCCCACCTGAGAATGTATTATTTCATGTTGTAAATTTTACCATTCAAACTATACAAATATGAAAGTAAGATTGAAGGAATAAACTGGGTAAGCAGCGTTCCATTTGGTTTAATCAGGAACTCTGGTGTCCTAAGTGAGAGTTGATCTAGCATTTCAAAGCTATACTTGAAAGTTTTTCCTAGTTGGCATCTTTTTTTTTTCTCCTGTTCTTAATTAAGAATTTGAAGAGGTAAAAAGTGTTTTTCAGGCCACCGCAGTAATAATAGTATATCAATACTTGGGAAGGGAATTTGGCAGATGATAAAATAATTTATTTATCCCATAGGTATTTGTCCCAGGCACTGATTAGATTTGTTTTCAGTAGAATTCTCATCCCACCACCATAACAGGTTCTGTGTGTTAGGTTCTTAAGTATATCATACTTAAACTGCTTTCTTACATGATGTAGTCACATAGGTTTGTGATAAATTGTTAGTGAAACTGAAATCTAAACATGACTAAATCAGATTTCGCTTTCTCTTAAATTTTGTTTTTCCTATTTGTATTAGTATTTGTGAAAAATGGATGGTAATTATTACCTGTGGTGAGTTGTAAATGGCAAGAGCATTCAAATCTGGATTTGAAAATCAGATAGACCTGGTTTTGAATCTTATCTTTGCCCTTAATAGGTACATCACCTTAGACAAGCATAGTATATCCAAATAACGTAACATCTCTTCTTTAGTAAGTATTCTGCAGTGGTTGTTTATATTGTCACCATCTTGCAAGGTTTAGAATTGTATGGGTTGATAATACCTAGTAAAATCAGTGATGTGAATGATGAAAAGAGGCTAAATCTATTACTGCTATCTGAAGTTTTTTTTATTTTTTTCACTTTAGCAACTTTTATCTAAATGCCCTTGGAAGGAGTACAAGTCTGACTCTGGAAAGCCTTATTATTACAATTCTCAAACAAAAGAATCTCGCTGGGCCAAACCTAAAGAACTTGAAGATCTTGAAGGTAAAACAGGGAAAAATAATTTTTAATGTTCCTTTTTGAATATGTGTGTTATTCACATTGAAGCAGTCCTTCATAAATAGGATTGTTCAATCAAAAGCCTTATTTTTTTTAATTAAGTGATTAGAACGTTTTAAATGGTGTAACAGTTTTATGGGCTCTTATTTTCTTGTTGCTCTAGATCTCAGTTCTATAGATTTTAAATAGATTTTTATTTGATTTGATTCCACTGAAACTAGGATACCAGAATACCATTGTTGCTGGAAGTCTTATTACAAAATCAAACCTGCATGGTGAGCTGCTTTGATAATTCATTTTCTGTCATTATTTAACATTTTTAGAGTATGTCACTAATGTTCACTAACCATAATTGGATAAATCTGCAGTGAGAAATTTCTAATTCAAAAAATTCCTTTCATTTAAGGGTTATATTATAAATGAGCTTGTAGTTTTTAATGTTGTACTTGGACTTTCTTTTTTTAAACAAAATAAAAAGCATCATTCGATAATTGAACAAAGACATCATATACAATATTTCTAAAGACAGTTGTGAGTGTTGGTGCATACATGGAATATGTGACTTAACTCATTTAGCAGATAGAGAACCTTGAACTCTTTTATCAGTTTAAATTTTGTTAACATATTGTCAGACCTGCATTTAATGCTGATTGATTTTAGCACAATATTGCAAAATAGCCTTTATATTTATTATGGGAGAATTAAATAAAAATGCCATGCCTCACAGAAGGAGAATATTCTAGCATCCTCAACTATTCAGAACATTCCTGCAAATCTATGAATATTACCTATTATTACCTAGGACTTAAAATAGATTATGGGTAGGAATTGAATTAATTTATTTTTTACTCTGACTTCTATTAGAATCTGGTGTCATAATCTATATCCAGTTAGAAAAAACAAATTGTAGGAGAATGGGACTGTTTGAAACATAAGATGACATCTGACAGGAAAGAGAATAAGCATTTCTTTGGCCACCTCGTGTGAAGAGTTGACTCATTGGAAAAGACCCTGATGCTGGGAGGGATTGGGGGCAGGAGGAGAAGGGGACAACAGAGGATGAGATGGCTGGATGGCATCACCAACTTGATGGACATGAGTTTGAGTAAACTCCAGGAGTTGGTGATGGACGGGGAGGCCTGGCGTGCTGCGATTCATGGGGTCACAGAGTCGGACACAACTGAGCGACTGAACTGAACTGAAAGGCACTGTGGTCTTATGTCTATTTAACTTTTCCCTGTGTCACCTCATTAGCTTGGATGATCATTTTATCTGAAGAATTTGTTAATTAGTAGTGATAACCCCTTTAGTATGTTTTCAAAGGGGACAAGTTTCAAAAATATTTTCATGGAGTTAAGCTTATGTTACAATTTACATGGAGCACCTCATTCCCTAATAATGTGAATAAAAGAGATATCTTTGTTACCGGTAAGAAAAATTTACTTTTAACTAGATTGAAATCTGAAACATTGAGTGAAGATCTTTAAAGCTCAATTTATATTTCTATACTAGCATTAGCTAATAATACTATTGTAGATAGGTGGATGCCCACTTCACTCATGTAAGGAACGTCAAGCTCATTTCTGATATAACCCTACTACAAATAGTTGGTGTGCATAACTATCTATCAATGCTAGTATATATGTGCTGGAATTTCATAACATACATTCAATCTCATTTTGAATTTAGTGTCTTAAAGAAAAGCAAATGGTTTTATCCCTGAGGAAAATGTTATTTTATTCCAGAATTACGCAGATACTTTGAGGGTGTTTTTGCAGTAGCCAGCAGCCTTTGAGAAGGTAGCATTGTGGGAAGAAGCTCTCCTAAAACCTGCTGTTATTTAAAATTTGTTTTTATTCTTTAATTTCTGTCCTGGAATTTATTGAGCACTTGCACTGTAAATGTAGTGGTTTTTTTTTTTTTAAAGGCTGGTAAATTAAATCTTACTGTATTGAACTTTTTATCTCCTTTTAAAGTTGTTTTCAGTGATTGTATTTAAAAACTGTGTAGTGTTTATAACTTTTCTTTTTTTCTCTTAATAGCAATGATCAAAGCTGAAGAAAGCAGGTAAGCACTTTTGGACATCAGTACATATTTATAATTTTATAGCATCCTCCTATCACATCCTTGTTTTAATTGTCTTTATAAATAGTATTTAACATGGTAGGCCTGATAGTTTGATATCTTTCGAAGATTTGGGACAGGGGAAGAGATGTACTCAAGATACACACATGATGCTCCTAGACAGTTATTTGGATTTGGACTACATCCTTACCAAATTAAGACCATTACAGAAAAGTCCAGAATTTGATTTTGGTTAATTTGAGAACAGATGAAATATCTTATCTATCTCTCCCTTTACCCAGGTTTTCCTTTGCATGGGTGAAATAAATAAAGAAATTTACAATATAAGTCGAATTTTAAGGCACAATACAATCTGATAGGACATTTTCTAAATGAAAATGATTATTGGTTTTGGAAATGCAGAGTGTTGCATCAGTGCATTATATGTTATCACAAATGTTTGCCAAATTAAAGTAATTCTGTTTCATACTGTGGTTTTAATCTTTTTAGATGGCTTAATAGTTTGGCAATACTTCCCTTTTTCCCTTTAGTTCTCTTCTTCATTTGATTTTATAATAATTTAAAACAAACTTTATTTGTGTTTGCAATTATTTGTATTGAACTGACCAGTTTTCTCTCTTTTAAATATATAGTAAACAAGAAGAGTGCACCACAACATCAGCAGCCCCAGTTCCTACAACAGAAATCCCAACCACAATGAGCACCATGGCTGCTGCAGAAGCAGCAGCTGCTGTTGTTGCCGCAGCAGCCGCAGCCGCAGCAGCTGCTGCTGCAGCCAATGCCAGTGCTTCCACCTCTGCCTCTAGTACTGTCAGTGGGACTGTTCCAGTTGTTCCTGAGCCTGAGGTTACTTCGATTGTTGCTACTGTTGTAGATAATGAAAATACAGTAACAATTTCTACCGAAGAACAAGCACAACTTACTAGTACCCCTTCTGTTCAGGATCAAAGTGAAGTGTCTAGTAATACTGGAGAAGAAACTTCTAAGCAGGAAACTGTAGCCGAGTAAGTCTAGTAACTTGTTTTCTGCAAATCAGTAGCAGACATCATTAATACAAGAAATTGCTGATTTAGTCAATGGTCAATAAGTGTTTAAATATTGAGAATCAAAACATACACCGTTAGATAACAGTTTTTGAGATTTGCTTTTGTGGGATCATGCTCTCAAAGTGTTGCAAAACTAATCCACTTAAGCTTAGAAAGCAGTGCTGGTGATAGGGTGAGTCTGTTTCAGTTTGAGTTATGGCTTAGCCCAGCACTGCAGGAAAGTTGCTATAAGTTGCTACTGAACAAATATGGAAAAACCAAAGTAACACTTAACAATATATAGGAAAACTGTTAGTAGGATTAAATTGGTAAACCTTTTTAATAAAGCCAGAGAGCTGCATCTCTAAGTTTACAGTTTATAATTTCATATGGCTGTGCTTTCTGCAGCTATAAAAAATAACCTTTAGCTATGCTTCTTGACTTGAAAGATGCCCGCATGTATTAAAATAAAATATTAACCATGATATCAAGATCCAAACATGATCACCCATCTTAATGTTTATTTATATTGCTTTCATCTCTCTTCCTCTTTTTATAAACTTTTTTTATTTTTAATGTGCATTTTCCAAAGTGAAAATAGCTTTATAATCTTTTTTCTTATGTTTAGAAGCTTTAAAAAGAAATCTATATAGTATAGTTGAAGGCATAAAAAGTTAAGATTTTTATTCTTTCTGCCTTTTTTTCTATGCATTTAAAATATGTGCATATTTTTAATTTTTAAAATATATCGGAGACTTCCACATCATTAGAGATCCATATCCCATCGTGTTGAATGATGACAGACATTTTATTATTTATATGAACATTAAGTAATCTCCTACTAGTAGGTGTTTAGACCTTTTAGAGTAATATTCTTTTACATCTTTTTGTACTTATCCTATTGTTTCACAATAATTTTTCACATTTTTAACAAACAGTTGTTTTCTGCTTCCTTTTTTCTGTTTCATTATAGTGCTTGAGTCATTAAACTTGATTTCAGTTACTCATAGATCATTTTATAGCTGGTAATTTTTGGCCATGTTGTTTCCAATATTTTTGATAATTTTAAGTATTCCAAACTAATATTGGGATGAGTTAATTGTATTTTGAGTGTGATTCAGAGGGTGTGAGTTAATTGTATTTTTTGTTAGTGTGTACTCCATAATCTTCCCCTATGCATTCAGCTTAACTATGGGGGATTGAGGTTTTTTCCCCCCTCTGGTGTGTTTTTTCCCAGCATTCTCTTCTGTAAAGGAACATATGTTAAAATTATACAACTTTTCATAAAGATGGCTCAACCAAGTACAGTTGCTAATTCTTGGGTAATTCTTTTCTGTTTGAGATCACTGTTTGGCAGACTTTTTCATAAACCTTCAAAGAGTAAATAAATGCTTTTGGTTTTATGGGTCACATAGTGTGTCGAAGTGACTCAGTTCTGCTGAGGCAGTACCCAATCAGTCATAATCAATATGCAAACTCTTGAGCAGGGTCATGTTCTGATAAAGATACATTTACAGAAATTGGCAGCAGGCTGGATTTGGCCTCAGGGGTCATAGTTTGCCAGTCTCTATTTAGATTGATCTCTACATCTTATTTTATGCACACTTGCCCAAAGCCTGTTACTAAGACACAAAAATGAGAGCATTGAGTAAGTTTTATAAGCCATTAGAAAGTATAAACTTGTGGACTAGTGAAAATAGTGTTACAGTGTAAATGTTTACTTTGGCCTTTGTGCAAGGTCTTAATAACTGAATGTTAGAGAAAATATATACTAGTATTTGTGTTCCATTAAATGTGTCTCTTATAGATGAGTTTATTCTAAAATTGTCAAATTTTGCCTAAGCATTAGAGTAGTTAAAACGTTATTTTCTGAAGTAAAGCAAGTGTTTATTTGAATTATAAATACCATGTATAAATCTTTCTTTAGTTTTACTCCCAAAAAAGAAGAGGAAGAAAGCCAGCCAGCAAAAAAAACATATACTTGGAATACAAAAGAAGAGGCAAAGCAAGCATTTAAAGAATTATTAAAAGAAAAGGTATTTATAGTGTAGATTTTTATATGATATATAGTAAGTATCTAATAAATGAAATTATCCTTTAATGCAGTTAGTACCTTGATGCTTTTATTAAAAATACTAATCCTGTAAATAGCTTTGGCTGAAAATGAACTAAATTTTTTTTAACTTTTTTTTTAAAACTTCCAACCAAAAAAATGTATAAGGTACTACATAGCACATTCCACTTCAGTCTTTACTATAAAGCTTTTATTCATAAAACTTTTCTGTCTTCTAATCAGTAGTCTTAAGAAAGTATTAATGTATTCATGGTCTGTTTCAGTTTCAGTTTTAAGTTTTCTTTTTAATCTATAGACTGTTAAACACATTTGCCTTGTGTCAATAAATTATCTTTTAGACGTTTTTTAAAACTCCTGCAAAGGGAAGTGCTTGATGTTTGCAGTGAGTATTATACTTTGTTCTCTATTGTATGACTTACTGTTTTGTGTGAAATTTTAACTTTTCATTAAATTATTTTCAGCGTGTACCATCTAATGCTTCATGGGAGCAAGCTATGAAAATGATCATTAATGATCCACGATATAGGTAATACTTTGGTTTTTTGTTTACTTTTTACTTTGAGCAAAGCAAGCCTCGAGAATTTAAATTGTGTCAAATAATGTAACTTTTTATTCCCGTTGATCTTCTTGTTGTTTTGGGTACCAATAATAGAGTTGCTTTATGTCTGATAAGAACCAAAAATTAAAAAGGTTTGTCACACAGTGTGGGCACCCTTCTATAGATATTAGAATTAATTTTTAAAGTAGAAATTATTTTCTGTGTTTAGTAACTTACTGAAATTTTCTTAATTTGTGAATGAAATTTATTATTTTTTCAAGACACTAACATTTGATCATCTTCATTTACTCTTACATGATTTTTTTTTTGTTTGTTTAGTGCTTTAGCAAAGTTGAGTGAAAAAAAGCAGGCCTTTAATGCTTATAAAGTCCAAACAGAGAAAGAAGAAAAAGAAGAAGCAAGATCCAAATACAAAGAGGCTAAGGAATCCTTTCAGCGTTTTCTTGAAAATCATGAGAAAATGACTTCCACAACTAGATACAAGTAAGATTTTTGCTGATAATGTTGTATGTTTACTGTAGTGTTTCCATGTTAGACTCTTTGCCAGGTATAATAACTAATCCAGAGTAGATGCTCATTAAATAAAGCTTAAGTGATTGTCAATGTGGTAGTTTCATAAAATAAAATAAATCAATAGCTAAATGTGGAATTTATAAACTTAGTTATTAATTAGGGACTACAACAAAAAAGGAGAAAGACTTATTTAATAATGAAATGTTGACTTCTTTCTCCTTAATATGAGTTCAATTATTTTTGTATTTTTGGAATAGAAATGGGCCATTTTTATTACGCATAGCATTTTTTGAAAATTTACATTTATGTAGCATTCTTCATTTTTGAGTGCTTTATTATTTAAGATTGTGAGTAATTCAGTATTAACATCTTTGCAACGAGGTACTGAGTTCATTTTCTGTATATTTTTCTTATTTTCCTCACTCTTGTGGAAAGCCTTACTGAAAAATTCTTCGTTTCTTTAAGTAGTCTTATTTTATCTGTTAACTAAATTTCTTAGAGTTTGTTGAAGTCTGTAATTTAGTTCCATGGGTGGCTTGGTAGTCTCTGTAGCTGCCTTAAGAAATAGAGGTAGTCCTAACTGCAAAACATTGCTCAATTGATATTCTCTCCACTGTCTCTAAGGAGAAATCAAGACTTAAGCTGTCTTTTTTTTTCTTAATTACCAAAGTTTTCCTTTATAATACCATTATGAACTTAAGAGTGGAAGAGTATTCATCTGTTGATGTTAAATTTAGAATAAAATTTAAATGGTTTAAAATTACTTTTTATGGTATAATATAGAAACATTTAGTCTTCTTAACAAACAGAAAAGCAGAGCAAATGTTTGGAGAGATGGAAGTCTGGAATGCAATATCAGAACGTGATCGTCTTGAAATCTATGAAGATGTTTTATTCTTTCTTTCAAAAAAAGAAAAGGTATTATTCACTGTTAACAGTATTTATAAATTAAACATGTTTCTTGTTAGGAGTTACTTTATAACATGTCCATTCTTGTTGGTTTATCTACTATATATGGTGCTGTAGATCTGTTTATTATAAGTTAAGTTAAAAAATAAATAGCTCTTGGATTTTCCTGGTGGTCCAGTTTTTAAGAATCCACCAGCCAATGCAGGGGACATGCATTCAGTGCCTGTCAGGGAAGATCCCACATGCCACAGGGCAACTAAGTCTTTGCCACAACTACTGAAGTAGCTACTACCTAGACTGTCATTAATTGCCTGTCTTATGCCCACTTAGAAAATGCTTTTTTTTTTTTCCTTTAAAGCTTGTTTGGGTTTAGAAAGTACTCAGTATTTTTCCTTACAAGGCATTAATTTATGGTTATTTTAAAAGAATGGCAGTAACGTGTAATTGTTACCATTAAAATGTATTTGTAGGGTAGTGTTTTTAAAATACTGAAATACTGTCCTGCAAATACATTTAGTTTTGCTCATGTCTGTTTGATTATGCACTAAGTTATATGTTATCCAGTCTTCCAGGAGACTTATAGAAATGTAAGTATTATTAACAAAAATTTGAATATCACTGAAAGTAGTTGAACACATTATCATTTACCTGTTGTGTGATTTGTCTGCAGAAACTTTTGTTTGGACAGTGTCTACAATACATAGTTGTGGGAAAAGAGATTTTGTGAGGGGGAGTGGGAGTTCCAGGTTAGTCTTAGAAGTTAAAAAAAATTGAAGGTAAGAGAGAAGCAGTTAGGCAAGAGTACTGAAAAGGTAAAGAGTGTTGATATTTAAAGTAAATGGGTAGCATTTGAAATTTGGACATCAGAATGTGAAGAAACCTTCACTGATTGCATTTCATACATCATGCTTTATTTGAATGTTAAAACGTCTATTCATATTTTTTACTTAGGAGCAAGCAAAGCAGTTGCGAAAGAGAAATTGGGAAGCCTTAAAAAACATACTTGACAACATGGCTAATGTGACATATTCTACTACTTGGTCTGAAGCCCAGCAGTATCTGATGGATAATCCAACTTTTGCAGAAGATGAGGAATTACAGAGTAAGAGTTACAACTAAGTGGAAGGAATAGTTTTTAAATAGTTGTCCAGCAGGGAAAATTGGTCCCTTTTTTTTTTTTTTTTGTGAGATCACTAACTGAATTTTGCATAATTGTTTGTCCATTCCTGCAAAGTTGTTTTGTTTGTTTCCAGATAAGATATTTCTTTCTGAGTTTTGTGATACAAAACAAAAAATTGTTCCCAAAATCTGAAGTTAGCTTTATCAAGTATAACTGAAATATGTTTATTAGGTCAAACCTGAAATTGTGCCTTGCTATTTATTTGTGATTTAGTGGGAACTAAATTAGTGACCAGATTTATCATGCTCTGCTCTTGAGGTAATGGCTTTATAGAGATTCACAAAGACAAAAAAAAAAAATGTATTAGTATTGTAGTAAGCTTCCCTAAGTTCTGTCTTATTTATGACCTACCTAGTTGCTTATTAAATTACAGCTTTCTTGATTATCCTTTTGAATACCATACTTCAGTAGGTTTGAGGGAAGGCATAGAATTTTATACTTGAAAAGCTCTTTGGGTAATTCTGATATTGCTAACCAATTTATCACAATTCTGTTTTCGTTATTTGTGTCATATATATTGTCTTGGTTCCATCCTTGAATTCAGTGTATGTTTTAATGAAGTCTTTTGGAAATTTTCCATATGGAAATTCCCTGACAGTTAAGTGGTTAGGACTCTTACTCTGCTCTTCCACTGCAGGTGGTGTGGGTATGATCCCTGGATCAGGGAGCTGTAGACTTAAAAAATAGTGACCACCTAGAAGCTGAGAGTTATGTTTTATTTGGTGGAAATTTTTAGGACTTCAAGCCCAGTAGACTTGGGCATCTCAAGTAACCATGAGAAGACTGCTCTGAGGAGGCGAGAGGAGGAACCAGGATATATAGAAATTTTATAACAAGGGCAGGTAGTCTGAAAGTCAGAAAATTACTGTTAATTAAAGGAAGCCAGATACCTCAAGGAATTTAGCAGTTTAGCACTTTACTATGCTTGGGAAGGTGCAAGAGTCTGGGCTCACTGAAATCATTCCTTTAATATGCATCTCAGCTCTCTGGGGCCAGTATCCTGGTTTTTTTTTCCCCAGAGCTTCTGTGGGACTCACTTTAAAGGGAGTGGCTGCAGCCTGATGGCTGCAAGATTGCAGATACTCTTCTCTTTTCCTGAGTGCAGTTAGAGCCCACATTGGAGGGTGCAATTGCTGATGACTGTTAAATCCTTGTTTACTAATATGACCAGAAATACTTCATTTCTCACAGCTAAGATCCTGAAAGCTGTGCACATGGCCATAAAGAAGTAAATAAAAGATCAAGAAATAATTATATAAATAAAAAGTTTTCCTTAAATATTTCCTATTTAGATAATTAAAAGTTATATTTGAGTTTAAATACAGATATTCTGATAAAGTGAATTTGAACTTTGTAGGGAGTTAATGCAAATAAACCTCTTTCTTTACTGATATTTGATGTTTTAATTTTTTATAACTGATAATAATTCTAGATATGGATAAAGAAGATGCATTAATTTGCTTTGAGGAACACATTCGAGCTTTAGAAAAGGAAGAGGAAGAAGAAAAACAAAAGAGTTTGCTTCGTGAAAGGAGACGACAGCGTAAAAATAGAGAATCTTTTCAGGTAATTTTAAAAGCTCTGTTTTTCAGCTTAATTTTGTAATATGGTTAATGACCTTTAACAGTGATATAAGCAATTTTGAGAATCCTGGTCTCAGATAATTAACTTGGGCTTTGCAGAGGATCCATAGACATTTAATCCTTAAATTATACAGTTAGTTATGAACCCACTTAAGGATAGTAGCCATTCCAGGCAAGAGGAACACAGAAGGCTATGGCAGATTTGGTATTTAAAGTGAATACTGATAGGTATGGTTTCACTCAGGAAAGAGGAATCGATAGCAAAAGTGAGGACTGAAAATAAAATGTGTGATGAGTCATTAGTACTAACTCATTTTTAGGTCTTTTAAGAAATGTAGGGAATGCTGTGGTATGCTTTTGAGGATGGGCCATAATTCTTAAACACTATACAGAGGAGCTAAAGTTACAGGTTCTTTGTATAGCTTTATTTTGAATCTCTGTCATGTTTTAATTACTGGATCTCTTTCATTAAATCCTGTATGAGGATAAGTGCAACTCCCCATGGTTCCAAAGATCACCAATCACCTTCAATGCCACAGCCAATAGCATTATTGCAGTCTTCATTCCATAAGAATGTAACATTTACTACTCTTGATGGTTTTCTTTTATCTTAGTAGTTTCCCAAAGAATCATTTGGAGTATTGTTAAAACCAGGGGTTATTGAGCCTCACCCTCAGAAATTGATTCAATAGGCCTCTTTTAAGTTGTACATAGACCTTTTAAAGGACGCAGAGCAGCAGCAGCAGATTACTGAGCAGAACCAATAGAACATGCTTTTGCTTGCGGGTGTGCTTGTTGTGTTCAATCACCAAGTCAGGTCCCCCCGAGGACTATAGCCTGCCAGGCTCCTCTGTCCAGTTATATCAGTAGTAATCCGAAACCATGCCAGACACATACTAACGTGACACAAAGCTATATTTTAGGCTTAGCAAAAAGATGCTTTTGGCCTTTGCATTAGGATTTCTTCTCCATGTTCTCCAGTTTCAGAATTGATACTATACTTTCTCATATTTTCTGTGACCCAGATTTCCTTATTTTTGTTGTATTTTATCTTATAGGTCTAATCAGCCTCCTAAAAATCTGTTCTCCCCTTTCTGAGTGCATGACTGCTTGGTTAAAATCTAGGTTTTCCAGCCTCCTTTGTAACTACTTATGGTAATGTGACTAAATTCTTAGCAATTGAATGTGAAGGAGGCAGATAGAACTCCAACATCATTGGTTTTTAAAGGAACTACCCTTTCAGCTTATTTCAGGCTGAAATGAAAGCTGAAATATGATCATGGGGATAACAGGCTAATTGTGCAGAGAAACCTAATGGGCTAGAGCAGTTCTCTTAACTATGGGCCAGCATATCACTGTCTCTTGGAAACTTAATAGATTAAGACAGATTCTCAAAACCCTTCTGAGACCTAATGAATCAAATTTAGTGGGGGAGAGTGCTGCCATCTGTGGTTTTGTTTTTACCATTTCTTCACATGGTTTGTTGAAATAACTGCTTAAGATAGAGATTTACCAAAAGTAGCACATAATTTGTTACATATGTAACATGTAAGGCCTTTAGTGACATCTAGGGAAAGTTAAACAGTTGCCAGATAGTTTAAAGGTTAAAAGTATTAGTCCCCCAATTCAGTCCCTCAGTGTGTCTGACTCTTTGCAACCCCATGGACTATACCCCTCCATAGCCTGCCAGACTGTTCTGTTCATGGAATTTTCTAGGCAAGAATACTAGAGTGGGTTGCCATTCCCTTCCCCAGGGGATCTTCCTGACCCAGGGATCGAACCCAGGTATCCTGCATTGCAGGCAGATTCTTCACTGTCTGAGTTACCAGGGAAGCCCAGATTAAAGGTAGAGGCAAAATTAAACCTTTGTCTGATGTTTTGATTAGATAGTTCAGGGTTTAAGACTTGCTTTTCTTTGGTAAGAGAGACCAGTCAAGATGGAAGGAATGAAGAAAGAATTCAAAGTTGGAGGTATTCTGTTATTAGGTAAAGTCTTTGAAGGTTTATTCAAGTATATATGAGTAGTTATATCTTGGACAGTATATAAGGAGATCAAAAATAAGGAAGGAGATGAGGGAAAAGAGATTATTGAGTTGGACTGAGGTAGTGAGTGGTGTTGAACTAGTCGTTTTGTTGATGGTCATGATGTGGGGAGAAGTTACTACTAGCATCTAATTGGATAGAGGCCAGAGGTATTGATAAACATCTCCCAATGTACAGGATTCCCATCCTGCATTGTGCCCCCCAAAAGTTTACAAGCTCCAAGAAGTCATTAGTGCCAGCATTGGGAGCCTTCCTCTCTAAACATAAGGCCTAATGTGTTCTGGAGGATTTATTTTTTGTTTAATTTTCTTAGCAGAAGATACGTAATTTCACTAAAGCAATACATTCAGAGTTTGGAAAACTAGGACTTAACCCCCATGTCTAATTTTAAAACCTTTTTTTCCATATTACTATTACAACTTAAACATAAATTTTTATAGGCTCACTTTATTATTATTTTTACTATTTGCGTACTTTCATGGAAACATATTGACTTCAGTAGTCTGCAATTTTCACATTTCCTGCTTCCTGAAAACCAGCCTCAGCCATCTTTGAAGCTGCTTGCTTTCCATCTTGTCCCCATCCTTCCCAAGATGGGGTTAGTAAATATTGGGTTAGCCACAAAGTTTGTTTGGGTTTTTCATAGAATCTTAGGAGAAAACCTGAAGGAACTTTTTGGCCAACCCAATAGAAGAGAGTAAAAGCCATACAGTTTAGCATAATGGTTTTCAAACCTGAATTCACATCAGTTATCTGATGATCTTTTAAAAGTAAATTATGAATATCTTTTTTTAATTCATATTTTAAAAATAATCTCATGTGATTTCCAATTTTCACTCAAGTTAGATTGGCTGTTGAAACAGTGGTGGTGGTGGTAGTTTAGTTTCTAAGTCGTGTCTGACTTGCAACCCTGTGGACTGTAGCCCACCAGGCTTCTCTATCCATCATATTTCCCAGGCAAGAATACTGGGGTGAGTTGCCATTTCCTACTCCATCATTATCAATCTACACTGAAGTAGATTCAGTGTCAAAATTCTATGACTTATCAGATCTTAGCAGCCAAGAAGTAAAACAAATACTAGCAAAGCAGATATGATAGAGTAGATTCTGTAGATCCTAGAGAGCATCATTGAAGATGGTTTCCAAGCTATTTTAAGGATTCCACAGAAGAAGTGTGATCACTTAGTGATCACATAGCAGGGGTGTTGTTAAGCTCCCATTTATGTTGAAGGGTAAGGATGAAAGGATTTGAGAAAATTTTGGATATAGAGACTGAATCGACATGCTTATTCTCATTTGGAGAGAAGTGGGGCTATTTGTCTGGTATCATTCAGGGCAGTGCTATTTAATAAAAATTTGTATGCCACATACATGATTGTAATTTCTTTTTAATTTAACTAATATTAATTTTAGTAACCTCTTATTTCACCCAGTATACCTAAAATGTTTTCATTTTAACATGCAACCAATATTTATTTTGGTAATAAACCTTCAGAGTCATTGTGTGTTGTATACTGCTGGCACATCTCAGTTCAGAGTCATATTTCATGATACTTAGAAGCTGCATTTGACCAGCGACTGTGGTATTGAGCAGTGCAGGTACAGGAATTTGAGGAACAGAATTTGTACCATAGTTTAGGGACACTTATAGCATTAAACACTCTAAGGATTTCAGGAAGCAGCAAATGTGAAAATTGCGGACTATTGAAGTCAACATATTGCCCTGAAAGTAAGCAAATAGTAAAGATAATAAAGTGAGCTTATAAAAATTTATGTTTAAGTTATAATAATAATATGGAAAAAAAGAAATAGGTTTTAAAATCAGACATGGAGGTTAAGTTCTAGTTCCCTAAACTCTATGTATTGCTTTAGTAAAATTATATGTCTTCCTCTTAGAAAAGAAAATTAAATAAAAAATGAATCCTCCAGAACACATTAGGTGCTGTGTTTAAAAACAAAAAGTACGTTTCACAATAAAAGCGCATGTACCTTCTTTTGCCTCATCATTTGTGATATCCAGTGTTTTGACTTTATTTGTACACATATTTATAAACCAGAAATGATGGTCTGTCTTAAGGGGCACATAAACTGAAGTCTGTAAAAGTAATGCAGTCCTTTTGTCTGAAGCCCCAAATAGTTTCTTTATGTAAAAGCAGATTTTACTTTCATCAGAGAGCAAGTATCAGTTGCACCTAAACACATTTGTGATGACACTGGTGGAAGAGTTTTATATATTGCTGTCTTTAACATATATTTTTATTCATGTTATACCAGTATTTCCAAAGTCCTTAAAGATGGCTTTTGAATATGTAATTAATTTGTCATTGTCCCTTTCCCCCAGATATTTTTAGATGAACTGCATGAACATGGACAACTGCATTCTATGTCATCTTGGATGGAATTGTATCCAACAATTAGTTCTGACATTAGATTCACTAATATGCTTGGTCAGCCGGGTGAGATTCTTCTTTTTCCTAAATTGTAGTTATGATAGTTGGAATGGGCCACAGGGAAAGTGGTTGTGTTTGGGGCATGGGGTGTGCTTTCTTTTGTTTTATAAACAAAAAAGTAATTGCAGCTCTTTGATTAGAGCTAGCTTTTGACTTCTTTAGTTTTTTCATTAGGATCAACTGCACTTGACCTTTTCAAGTTTTATGTTGAGGATCTTAAAGCACGTTATCATGATGAAAAGAAGATAATAAAAGACATTCTGAAGGTAAATACATCCTATTAACTTAGTCTGGGGCATATTTTTAAAAATAATGCTGGTTTTTTTTGTTACTAATGTTAAAAAGATTTCTGTTTTTTAGGATAAAGGATTTGTAGTTGAAGTAAATACTACTTTTGAAGACTTTGTGGCAATAATCAGTTCAACTAAAAGATCAACCACATTAGATGCAGGAAATATTAAGCTGGCTTTCAATAGTGTAAGTTATCATTCTTACTATTATAAACAACTAGATTAATAAAACAGTTTTTAATACATTTGGCTAAAGATACTTAAGTTGTATGTAAACTCCTGAAATAAGGGAATAGAAATAGTATTTTACAGAGTAGTGGACACTGTTTCAAATAAGGTAACATAATATACTTAGAGATGAGTGATAGTAAACTCCCTTTGCTAAAATTAATTGCCCCTTACCTTATAGATGATGGGAGAATAATGAATTTAACACAAGTTAAATTGTACTATATATATAAATATGTTTTCTAAAAGTTACTAGAAAAGGCAGAAGCCCGTGAACGTGAAAGAGAAAAAGAGGAGGCTCGGAAGATGAAACGAAAAGAATCTGCATTTAAGAGTATGTTGAAACAAGCTACTCCTCCAATAGAATTGGATGCTGTCTGGGAAGATGTATGTATACTTAGAAATTTTTTCCTTTACAGTTGAAAATAAAAATATTTTTCTTTCTCATAGCTACAGAGATAAATGAAGTTATTTGAAGATTGTGCACTCAGCTGTGATGGCATTTAGGAATACTGGAGGAACGGAAATAAAGACTGAGGGGGCTGGGCTGTCAATTTTCACTTGCTGTTTTTTTAGTCACATTGGTATATTTTTCTCAGTTTTCATATTTTTATTGCATATCTGAATTTTTCAGATCCGGGAGAGATTTGTAAAAGAGCCAGCATTTGAGGATATAACTCTAGAATCTGAAAGAAAACGAATATTTAAAGATTTTATGCATGTGCTTGAGGTAATTTTAGTTTTATTGTAAGTGGCTGATATATTACAAAATATGTAAAACATTTTTTTTAAATCGAAGAATTTAGAATGATCAAAGTGTGTTTCCTAAATTACACTCAGGTCAGTTCAGTTGCTCAGTCGTGTCCAACTCTTTGTGACCCCATGAATCTCAGCACACCAGGCCTCCCTGTCCATCACCAACTCCTGGAGTTTACTCAAACTCATGTCCATTGAGTTGGTGATGCCATCCAGCCATCTCTACCTTTATACAAATGTACTTAATTATCTGGGATGATTAGGGGATGGTTTATTCTATAGAAACTGCTTTTAAATGAAACACACTAGGCTTGCATGAGAAGGTAAAGATCTGTTTAGTGAAGACAGTTCATATGTTTCATATTTATACAGTGTTAACAGAAATTCATCATTTTAGGAGTCACATGGAATGATTAATAAACCTGTAAAGAACTTAGAACCTGTAAAGCAGATAGAAAACAGTTTTAAGCATATTTCAAATATTATACTACATTAGAGGTGTTGGAAGCTCAGGGATGTTCTGAAAAATAGTAAGTTTTTGCTAAAACAAGTAATGATAAAATTGCAAATTATTTCACTAGCTGAATTAAGGGTATTTTGATGAAGATTTCAGGTAATCACTTATAGATAGTAAATATCATAAATTGACCAATAATAATTACTGTTTGGTGCCCATGTTATGTTTTACAAATATTATATATATGAATGTAATCCTCACAACAACCCTGTGAAGTTACAGATGAGCAAACTGAGGCCAAGAGGAAAAGTAATTTGCTGTGAAGGGATTCCAACATAGGCTTTTGACTCCAGGGCCAGTGCTTTTACCAATTACACTTTGCCGTCAGTTTTGGACAAACTAATACTTCACAGCAAGGTGAAGTTAGCATACACTTAAATTTGTAATGTTCATGGTCTTTGGGAATAGCAGGTAACTTAATTGTTGACGACTTCTTTGGATTTATTGTCCTTGATAAGTGTCAGTGTTGACAATAATTTTCTGTTAAAATGCCCCACACATACCATATATTGTCTCTCAGCTGCCTTTAGATCTAGTGCTATTGGCCTGTAGATCTTTTCTACTCAGATCAGCAGCATCTGCATTACATGTAAACTTGTTAAAAATACAGAACCTCAGGCCCCACTGGCAGAAATGTATCAGAATTATCATTGTAACAAGATTCTTAAGCACTGGAATGTACATTTAATTTTGAGAACCTTTGCTATAGTGTAGTGTGTTAATATTTTCCCCCAATTCAGGAATGTCCACAACAAGATTCTTTCATGATCTGTGCTGGTAAAGTGATGAGGTCATAAATGGAGCTGATGACCACATAGGGAAGAGCTGAAAATACCAGAAAAGGATTTGGACCTCAAAAACGGCCCTTGAGGTAGAAAAGGAAGAAGGGTTAACAATTAGTGACATGAAAAATGACAGTCCCTGAACTAGATTTTCCCCTTCCACTTACTTGTAAACTGAAGCAGATTTATTTACAAATCCTTAGATATGTTTGGGAGTAGGGAACTTTCACTGCAGCAATTCCCCTCTTCTTCTAGCCTGATCATTGTTCTAGTAAAAGAGGTAAAATTCATAGAATATTTCCTTTCTTGATTTCATGTGTAGTTAGATTGCCTTTGGATATCTTAAGTTTGACTAGGAAGGGAATGCTCCTTGAAAAGAAAGTAGATTTTGTATTTAATTTCTGAGATAACCTCCTTTACACATGACTCTGGGATAATTCTTTATTTCAGTGCTGAACCTAGATCACTGACAAAAGCCACATTCATCAAATAAATAAAATATAATTATATTTTCATTGTTTTTGAAAGTAGTATGACTATTCTGAAGATATATACCTTTATAGAGGGTATCAGTTGTCCCCACTGTACCCACACTGTTCTCATTGCTCTAAGAAGTATTTTATTAATACTTTTTTTATTAATACTTTTAAACATTATGTTTAGGTGTGAAATGAGTGTGTATAGGATAGTTAAAATGTTCTCTTCACTTTTAAGTGGTAGTAACTCTTTGCACAGTTTCAAGGTGGGGAGTACATCCTAAATATGAAAAATGAATGTGGTTTTTACTCTAAAAGGAACTTACTTGCAAAACTATTAAAAATTCTCTATGATCTGTTATCTAAAGTGTGAGCTTTTGTAATTATTTGTGAGCTTTTGTAATTTTTTTCTTTTGCCCCTGTAGCATGAATGTCAGCATCATCATTCAAAGAATAAGAAGCATTCTAAGAAATCTAAAAAACATCACAGGAAGCGCTCCCGCTCTCGATCAGTAAGGAAGTTTATTTAAAATGGTACCATAAGTATATTGACGTATTTGTTAGCATCATTATGAATAAAATTATTTGTGTTGTGTAGGGGTCAGATTCAGATGATGATGACAGCCATTCAAAGAAAAAAAGACAGCGATCAGAGTCTCGTTCTGCTTCAGAACATTCTTCTAGTGCTGAATCTGGTAAACATCTTTTAACTTGATTAAAATCGTTGGCATTTGGATGTCCTCAAATTCTGACACTTTTCTTTTCATGCTGCTTAGAGAGAAGTTATAAGAAATCAAAAAAACATAAGAAGAAAAGCAAGAAGAGAAGACATAAATCAGTAAGCAAACTCTTGATTTTTATACTGCACCTAAGCTTTTGCCCTTAGCTTTCTCAGTGGCAGTAGACATTTCTGCTTGGTCCTATGCAGAGTTTAGGTGAGCACCTAAATTCAAGAGTTTCATAGTTGTGATTCACCCTAATTTTGCAATAAAACCTTTGGTGAACTTGAAACAAATAATAATAAACAGTGTTAGTATTCCCACTCTGGTTTTTTATAGTAATCTTAGACAGAGAGAGAGAGAGAGTGTGTGTGTGTGATAGCTATTGTTGAGAGCCACAAGTTTAAACAACTTTTTCCTCTATTCTCGGTTCTTGGTCTTAGATACACATCAAGATACACCTAATCTTAGGGATGAAGGTTCACCTAATTTAGTGACCCATTTTTAGTGATGGTTTACCCTATCAGTTTACTTCCCTGGTGGCTCAGACGGGAAAGCGCCTGCCTACAATGAGGGAGACCCGGGTTCAATCCCTGGCTCGGGAAGATCTCGTGGAGAAGGAAATGGCAGCCCACTCCAGTATTCTTGCCTGGAAAATCCCATGGACAGAGAATCCTGGTAGGCTACAGTCCATGGGGTCGCAAAGAGTCAGACACGACTGAGCGACTTCACTTACCCTATCATCAGACTGTCTTTTCCCATAGGAAAGACCAGCTTGCTGCCATGAATCTTTGGACTGTTTTAGATTCCTTGAGGTTATCAGTTCAGATGTCACCACTCTAGGAATACATAAATACTATGTTAAATGTGGGTGTTCTTAAATATTACTAATATAGGGGTTTTTTTTCCTAATAGCATTTTGATAAAGTAACCATTTTAACATTGTCTTTTATTTACAAAGGACTCTCCAGAGTCAGATGCTGAAAGAGAAAAGGATAAAAAAGAAAAAGACCGGGAAGGAGAAAAAGACAGAACTAGACAAAGATCAGAATCAAAACACAAATCACCTAAGAAAAAGACTGGAAAGGATTCTGTAAGTATTTAGAATTTTTCCTGTTTGTATCTACCAGTTAGCTGCTTTTCACACAAAGTAGTTTTCTAACGTATGTTATCATGTGTGACCCAATTTAAGCATCCTAAATTTCATGTTCATTAAAAAAATAACATGGCATTCTGTCACTGTTGTTTAACCCACTAAGAAAGGATATGTTCTTTTAGTTTTGTACATTCTCATTAAGAAATGCCAATGGATGTTTTCTACCTAATTTAAGAATATAAAATTTAACAGATGAAACTCAAATTGGGTTTTCCTTCAACATAGCACTGTTGTAAATCCTATAATGTTGGCATCATTACTAAATCCTGTTTCAATAAGTAGCTTTCTAACAGCTTTTAGAAATAATCATTGGGAAGGAAGAGGTGAGGGCAAATAGGGGGATATTATAAGCCAAATCTGATGTTTTAATATCGAATTACATAGTTAGTCCTTAGTTTCCCCTGTATGTATGCGTGTGGCAGAGCATGTAACACAAGCCTTCTTCACCTTGCCGTTCATGCCACAAATGCTGTGTGTCGGCTTAGCAAATATTACCAACTGCAAGTTTAGGGTAGGTAAGTCCTCATCCTCCCTTTGGATTTTCTCCTTCGGTGGGAATAGGGTGGAGGGGTGTTTGTTTTCAAACAGCACTGGAGAGTCTGATGCACATCTTTGGTGAGGAATGATTATTTCCTCTGTACTTAACTTAGCAACTTAAGTGTCCTTACATTAGATTAATGGAATCCCTGAAGGGTGATGGAAAATATAGGTGAACGATCTACTTTTGAAGAGTTCCTTCTCAAAGTGTTTTGTGTGGTTTTTGTTGTTTTTAAATTTTTTCCAGTCTAACTTTTCCTCATAGTTCTGGGCACAATATAATCTCAAAAGATAATACTTTACTATAGTATAAAACACAGGATAACCTAGATTCTGAAAAACTAGTGAAGAATAATACTTAAAGAATACTTAGGAAATGAACACCCAGCTTCCATTAAATGGAAATAAGATGTTTCATATTCAGTTACGTAGAAAGAAGGAAAATAAATGGATACGTACTGTTCTCCCTGATTTACATATTAAACTGAAAGTAGACACCATAGAAGAGTTCCGTTCTGAGAGAACTGTCTCCCCTGGTTACTTGACTCCCCAAATAACCAGGGAGTATTTGGTTAACTCATTAGTAGGCTTTTGGGAAAGAAATCCGTCTTTAATCAGTCTGTGATGCCTTAGTTTTTGTGGAAGAGAATCCATGTAGATTTATATTCTTTTTTCAAAGGTTCACTACTACTTACACTTTGAATACTGACACAATTGTGTTCATTGTTGTTTTTCAGGGTAATTGGGATACTTCTGGCAGTGAACTGAGTGAAGGGGAATTGGAAAAGCGCAGAAGGACCCTTTTGGAGCAACTGGATGATGATCAATAAATTATACCAAATATGTTTACAGTATGATTTAAAGTCTAATTCAGACCAGGAACTCTATTTTAAGTTCAACTGAAATAACACTGGGTTTTAATTATATCACAGGAAAAAAAAAAGTGCATTTAAGTATTGTTATTGTGGACTTTATAAAAGCAAAGGAAATTGAAAATAACTTTTGATTCTGTATCAAGAATCATATTTTCATACAGTCATAACTGTCTGTCTGTGACCCTTTCATAGGGCACTGCAGGATGGATTAAAGGTGGCAATTTACTGATAACTGCAGGTGTCTCTACTTTATTCTAAAGTGTAAGTCATGAGGTGATTTGATTTACTTTATAGAAGCTGGATTTTGAAGATATAATGGAAAAATTTTGATATCTAGTAGTACAAAAAAAAGCACCAGCAACTGATAAACTGCTTTTTTGTGCACTACCCAACTGGTTAAAGACGATATGATCTTTTATGGTAAACTCAGAAATAAGTGTTCATAATGGAAACCTGGTAGACCCTTAACTGTAGTGGTGCTGCTCAGCACTGCTATAATAAAGCCACCATTATTTTTTATGGAACATCTGAATACATTTTAAAAAGGCTACTGTGAGGGCATTATTTTGAGGTGATGTTTAAAAAGTTAACATCAAATCAAATTGTAAATTAGCTTAAATATATTGCCTTAAGGACCTACTAAAGAATGTGCCACCAAACTTTAAGTGATGGCTGCAATATCCTTGTCTAAAACAAATCAATGTTGACTTCAGCAATTTCTTTTAACAGTTTTTTTTTTTAATCCGAACTTTCTCTTGCTTTTTTTCATTGAGGAAGTCTTTTACCTTCCCTACTCACTGAGAAGTATTGACTTCGTGGTACACATTCTAAAGCATTTCTGATTTGAATATTTTTGTACATTTTTATCAATTATTAAATCTTCTCTTCTAGTGTGTACTAGTATTTATTTCTACTGCTCAGCTCTTAAAAAAAAAATTGTATGATTCTTTAAAGGTTAAGATACTAAACCCCTAAAATTTTGCTTTATCTAACCCACATAGCTAAGTTCCTTTCCTTTTTTAATATTTAAGAATATTATAAATCATACAGGCCCCTGTATTTGTTTTTGGTCTATGAATTTCCTACAGAATACTTTAAGAAAGGCAATGGTTTGAAGCTAGAATACTTTTTACATGCTAACTTTTGAAGGTTGGTAATGTAATTTATACTATTTTCCTTCAGTGCAGGAGATTTTTTTTAAGTAAATAAGTAAATTTCAGCACATAGTCTTTGGTATTATCTTAGGTATTTTTTTATTTTGGGTACTTGGGGCAATCCTGTTTCAGGTCGGGATTTAGAAGAACAAAAAGTTCATTTTCCCTTCACCATCCTAATGAATTTGAAAGTGGGACAGACTGGGATGACTTTTCCCATCTCTGCCCCCTATGTTTCAATTAAATCTAGTATCCACTCCTGAAAGCCACAGGGGAAGGCTGGGGGAGTCCTGAACTTTTCTCAATGCCAAATCATATTTTTGATGTGAAATACGACATGACTTTATAGAAAGTAAAAATCACTATCTTCAGAAAATGCAAAGCCAGTTTCTTGCTTGAGGTCAGTCTCCTATTGTATATTAGAACCACAACATATAACTTTATCACAGGCAAGTTGCCTAGACTTAATTTTCAGAGGCCCCTTCGTAATAATAGTTAATATTGCTTATCATGTCAAACACTTGACCTGGACATCAAAGTAAAATATTGGCAGAAATACTGGTGGCGTTTCACAGAATTTAGAATCTGTAAAATTTTAATTACTTCCATGAATCATGATTTTTTAAAGTACAGCTTTAAAAAGGTTTTAGTTTTCCTATTAAGAAACTATTGATGTGATTTAGCATGTCCTCAAATTAACTTTCTATAGTATAGAGATACTGTCATATCACAACTTCAGATTTCCATAAGACAGTACAAACTCAAGTTTCCTTATTGTTCCAGCCATGAAAATTATTGACCTAAAAACAAAACTAATGAGTTGTAAAGCAGAATACAACATGCTTTTTATAAAGTATGTAATTGAAGTAACTATAATGCTGTATTGATCCCATCAAATGGCGTTAAGTTGCTAGAAAGATACTGTGGCCTGGGATATAGGTGATGGGTAGATTTTATTAAAATAAGTTATGTGTGAATATCTTTAATCCATTTGATTAGGTTTCTAAATCTTCAGTCTAATAAAGTTGAAATGTCTTAGAATATTGGTTTTAATTAGAGCTGAACAGTTATGTTCAAAATGTGTTCAAAAAGAAAGCATGTTTATATTCAGATGAAGGGAATTTATACTTTTCAGTTAAGCCTCAAGACTTAACTAAATGTTAAGGGCCTATCTTCCCTCATTATCATTAATATTAATGAACTCTTGGATTAAATTCAGTAATACATTTAATGTAATGCTTAATAATCAAAATCAGGACTTCAAATAGTGGGTGTTTTTTATTCCTTCCAATATAAAATTCCAGTATTTAATTCCTATGTGGAAAAATTGAATTGTTATAAAAAGTTAATGACATATGAAGAATTCTTTGCACTTCTCCCAAGTGTATTTAAACAACATAAAACTTTTAAATAAAAGCAGTGGTCCCAACATTTTTAATATAGTGATGCCATTTCATTATCATTACCCAAAGGAGCTTCAACCTATAGATCATTCATGTGTTTCAACAATGAAAATAATTTTTATGCCTCCCAGTAAATCTGAAAATGCTTAAAGTATCACAGCCATTTCATCTTGATTTTTGCTAACTGTGCCCCATTTACAACAATAGTATGAGAGGGATTGGCCTCTAGAGTAAAGCAGTCTTTTAATTCACAGTGGTAAGACTATAAAACTTCTTGAAATATCTGTATACATTTCTCTGAAAAGAAGGTCCATAGTTTTCATTCAGTTACCAGGGGGCCTGCATCTTGTGTTAAGAATCCTTTGCCTAGGTGATCCTGGTTTTCTTCCAGTGTTAATGATCAATTGAGTGCTGACTAGGCAGCCACTTTTTTTTTTTGCATCCAGATAGGGGTAACTCCTTTATTTAAAGATTATTTAAAACTTGGATACTATTTGAGAGAGCTAATCAAATAGTACCCCAGCAAAGAGTAATGAATGCATTTTTAAAAATGAGTTTATAGGGTGTTCATTATGTAATTTAAATGTAAATGGCAAAGCTAAAGAACTAAATAAACACTTCTAAAAGCAAAATTGAGGCAAAGCACATTAATTCCTTATATCTTAAATCAGACTTTTTCTTTTCCCTTGGGGAAGTCTCTCTCCCAATAGCAGGTCAAATTTTCTTTTACATTTTCTAGGACTCACTTTACATAAAGGAAAAGCAAAGTAACATCGCAAGTAATTTTCATGGAAATGCATTCTAAGTTCATAGTTTCATTCTATGGTTCTAGTAATGGTGTTATCAGTTCAGTTCAGTCGCTCAGTCATGTCCGACTCTTTGCAACCCCATGAATCACAGCACACCAGGCCTCCCTGTCCATCACCAACTCCCGGATTTTACTCAAACCCATGTCTGTTGAGTCGGTGATGCCATCCAGCCATCTCATCCTCTGTCGTCCCCTTCTCCTCCTGCCCCCAATCCCTCCCAGCATCAGAGTCTTTTCCCATAGCAGTCTATTAATTCTTACCTTCCTTATTCTTACCTTATTCAACCGTTTTGATGTAGGTGGTGGTCAGATTCCTTGGGGGCAAGGATTTGTGTTTCACTCGCTGTCTTGTGAATTAGAACAGTGCCTGGCACACAGCAGGCATATACTGAGTGAATGTAAAATAAAATATCAGCTGACAGATGTACTCATCCAGCATCCATGGTACTCGTCATCTGTATTAAAGAGCTTGAAAAAGCATACTGAACCATACTGAACCCCGAACTAATTGAAGTACACTGAAGAGTTCTAGTGACTGTGCCTCAGTCTTAACTGTTCCTTCAGAAATGTCCAAACGCTTATTATGAGAACATACATCTTTTCATGTGGTTTTTGAGTAGAAAAGGCAATCCCTTGTGATGATTTGAAACATACCTTCTTTCATATCATATGCATACTTCTGTTACAAGAGTAGTGGCTTAAAAGTAGTGGAGCTAACATTTAGCTAGATCAGAGTTGATCTAAAGACCCTAATTAGACAAAACAAAATTCCTGTGTTAAGTTCTGAGAACTAATCGTTTCAGGCTGTTTTTGACAAACAGGTGAATAATGGTGACAGGGCATGTATGCACTTACAGTGCTACTGGAACTGACTTAAAGGTGAGTTGGGAAGGGAAGATTTTGCTCCAGTTACCACATACTCTCCCTAGCTCTCCAGACCATACTGGGTTTCTCTGTCTGGCTTAAGTTTCTTAATTACAGTGAATTTTTTATGCTTTTGAAAAAAATCACTACATAAAAACTGTTCTTGTGAGTCAGTATGATCTAGTTCAAGGCCATCTCATCATTGTTAGTGATTGATACTTGACTGTTAATTTGATGGTAATTTGTCCTAGTTTTAAGGTTGATGTTTGCATTTGAGGAGAACTAGCTCACCTCCAGTTTTCATTCAGAATAAAACAAAGTGGCTGTCTATTCTCACATCATATTCAAACTAAGCCATTTCTTGATGCCCTTCTTTTATGCTGTCTTGGCGGGTATCTAAATGTAATTATAATCTTTTTTTTTTTGGTCCTGCCTGCAAACTTTTTTGGTAGGTGTTGCTCTCTTGCCTACCTCTACAACTAAACTGAAGACTTGTTCTGAAAGGTGAGTAATAACAAGGAACAAGGTTTCTACTTTGTGTTTGTACTTACCAGATTTTCTCTTTTGTTCATATATTGTTCTGATGTAAAGAACCTCAATTATATAAAAGTAGACCTTTTGTAAATAAATATAATTTATTAGAAAAATGACATCTTTTACTAAATTGGATTTGTGTCAACTTTTTCCGTTAAGCACTGTCGTATGCAGCAGTTCTGTGCTGTGTGGTGATAGATGCCCACATTGTTTTCTCAATGTTAATACTTGCTTTTCTCTATAAAAAGTTAGATCAAAAAAGGTCTATCTATCAACATTTGTCCATGCATTTGTTTCTTGCTTCAGATTTTTTTCTTAGAAACAGTTGGAGTATTAGTTTAGAAAAAGTGGAAGATTAATCCTTTGGCACAAAGTGGGCTGATAGTATATTTGTGCACACATTTCTGATAAAAACAAGTGTATTAAGGTTACAAATTTCATTTTATCAAATTTAAAATTAATAGATGTGAATTATAAATCTAGTTGTGAAAGTGTATTTCACAGTGTAAAATCAGGTGATTCTACAAAATCAACATACAGAAAAAGTGTGTTGAACCAGCAGAGTCAGTGGTGGATGTCAAGTTCTATTAACCACTGAGCACTGCTGGGTGAGCAGGGTTGCTAGACATTCACTGCAGTGTCACTGGCAGTGACTTTTACTGGATTAAGATACAGAGTTTTAGTCATAAAGATTGGGAGTGAAAAACACATAGACTTACCTCTAAGTCATTAGAAAAATCTTTAAAAATGGGTGCTGCTGATAAATTTCCAAAACCTAACCATATCCATCTCATTTTAACTTATTGCTGTAGTTTATTCCTGAAAATATTCTGACAGAATGTTAATGACCTTATTTCCTTTACCATGAGGCACTTCTGGTACAAAACAAACAGGAGATTCTTACTAATTGCAAAATTTTAACTTTTTTCTGTTTTAAAAGTTTCAGCTACAAGTCTACCTTGGGAATATTGCAAGTTTGGTTCCAGATTATCACAATAAAGACTAATTTATGCCCCTTTAAGCTGTTTCTTAAGCCACTTGGACAGTTTCTTAAATTATAAATTTCTTTGCTTCCCTTAAAATATACTAAATGAATATACTAAGAACATACTCTGATGACTTGGAGTTACAAATATCTGTGTGTGTGTACATGCACACACACACATGCATGCACAAATGTTTCAGGTGCTTACTGCAATCCATGAGCAGACTGAGTATATGCAACATCCTCATTACAACAAATGTTGAGAGAGGCAGTATCTCACCAGAAAAGAGCGCTTTTTCTCTGGAAGGAATAAATTCATAACTAGGATTCTGGACATACTTATCTCAATGCTAAAATACTCAATAGTAAAATCTGTTTGGTTCCTGTCTTCCATACAGCAAGTGACCAGGAGTTTTGTAGAGGAAGGAGTTTTCCTTACATTGTACCAAGTCTATTTAGGTTATGAATTCAAGCAGCTAAACATATCTGTTTCTAGAAGATAAAAGAGTAGACACGAAACTGGCACATAAAACCCCCTCAAGTATACACTGAAAGATGACAACACAGTACAGGGTAGTAGTGTAAATAGTTTATTTGCTCATATGCCATGAAAAGACCAGGAAAGTAACATGAACTGCTTTTATAAAACATTTCTAATATTGCTAAGAAGCAGGCCCATTAAGAGACAGACAAAAGGACATGCCAATATTATTGTCTATTTGTATATTAATAAATAGCCCATTTTAACCTATGTTCATCAGTATTGAGCTTTGGAAAACAGCTGCTTTGTGGTAAAGGACCAACTATTTGTGTTAAATCTCATGGTCAAATCCCTCTTTTCATCAAAATGAAATGTTGAATGAGTCAGACACAATCTTGGCATGTTCTTTTTTAAAGTACACATTATGAAAATGTGCTAGCAGGTGGCAGTTTAAAGTAATCTTTTTGTAAATAGATACGCTAAAGTGAAATGTAACTGATCCCTAAACTGTCCTTGAAGTTAAATATATATATTAAAAAAAAAAACCTATAAGTTAAAATAACATTCAGATTGTATAGCATAGGCTGATGCATTTTTAAACAATATTTACAATATTACCCAGGGGCTTAGGTGGGAATTAAAGAGAAGTGTAAAAACCATAAAAAACTGCACCGATTTTATAGCAAAATATCTGTACATTTAAAAAGATATATAACTACACATTATCCAAGGGAAATGGGACCTTCACCAAGGAGTTCACATGAGCACAACATAAAATAAGAAATTCAGTGGTTAAATACTATACAATAAACTTTACAATTAATATATTGATGTAATGTACCAATAAAGTAAGCCAGAAGCAAAATGTGTTGTGATGAAAATTACAAATTAGCTTCAGTCCAGTTTTTGACTTTGGATCAAGTGCCCTGCCAGAGATGAAGGAACAACAACAGTGGCTTTGTTGGCCATTTAGTCCCATTACATATCATTTCAGCTTAATACCAATGTAATTCAGCAGTTTAATTGCAATTCCCCACAAGGTTGTCTGGAAAGTACAAGAATTTCTTAGCTCTGATGTATGATGCCAAATATATCTAATCCAATCTACAAAAAGGAGGAGGAGGGAACCCTGCGATTGTCAGAGTGATAAAGCCAGGTTACTAACACTACTCTGCTAGAAGTAATCTTGAATGCTTGTTCATAGAGCTAGTGAACTTCTCCCTGGCTAGCAAGGCACTGATTTCTGTTCTCAGGATTGACCCATAATGGTCCTCAGGAATCCTAATACTGATTACTGAGATGTTAATTTTAGTGGTAATTAATAAACATTTGTATTTTTAAAAGCTGCCTCTAGCTGAAGAACACAGTACTGCAAATAAGTCTTGTACAGCATCTGTACGCCACTGGATGGTCTCATTCATACCAATGAATATCACATGAGGCATCATGCCCCAGCACAGAAGCAGAATGTGAAACAAGTGGACTGACTTCTGTGCCACTGCAGTTAGGTCCTATTTGTACTTGGCTGGGGCTTGGGTATAGACAAAAGGAGCATCACATGACTTCTTCCTTCTTCCATGCTGCAAGCCCTTAAAAATACAAAGTTGACAGGTATGGCTAAAACAAACTTCTTAAAAGACAGCAAAGGAAGCCCACAGCAGATGCATTCCATGTTATTTACAACTTATCAGGAAACCAGGGTGGGCCATCATGAGACAATCACGATGGCAGGTAATGAATGTAATATGAAATTTATATTTTGGTTAAAAAATAACATACTGGTGTAAAAAGATACTAATCAAATCAAATCCTATTGCTTTGATTAATCTGAGCAGGTACTTCCACTTTTAGGCACTTGTTAACAAAGGTTGAAAGCAGAGCCCATCATTTAAAAATTCTATGTGTTTGCTAAATCTGAGCCCTTAGAATATTGTATCTATGTTCAAGGCTGCAGTTAAATGGTAGCACAGAAAGTTCACAGGGACATCTTCATTCACGCACACCCTCTATTCACACAAGCAGGTCTCTGGTTCACATGTTCATTTCGGCACCATTAGCAGAACGCAAGTTCTGGTCATCAAAGCGCCGCCTAACACTTCTCCTCACCGCATCGGCTCGTCTGTATGGTTGGTTTCTAAGATCTGTAAAGAGGAGAGCACCAATGAGAGAATTGCAATCTATAAGATCATGTGTCTAAGCAAGACAAAGGCCAGCTGGCAGCCAATCAAAGCAGCTTGTGTAGAAGAGTCAGCTAATGGGCCCTTCAAACTCAGGATTTGAGCCAAAAACATATGTACTTTGCCCTCGATATTTACAATCAAGCAAAAACAGCATGTAATACTGGTGTGATTCTGGCTCTTTTATTAATACAAGCAGAGTGTTTCTGTTACTGGCCAGAGTCTAGCCGATGTCAGTTTGAAATGTTTCTTCCATTGGGAAGTAGCTATTACTTAGTAGTCATTTTTCTTTCTGAAAACATGAATACCAACAATTGCAATGAATTTTAAACTGCAAGACAAGACACACTGCCTTCTCCTATCAGACTTTAATTAAGGAAGGAGCTTACACTTGGTCTGCAGACACTGCTTCCATTATTATTCCATTAAAATGAGCTGAGGTGAGTTTATTTTGTGAATCAGAAATATCATAGTCGACCACTGAACAAAAGCAATTACTAAATCAAAATAACACTCCATTCCTGAACATTCTTTCCTGCCACCCAAGATGTTATTTTTCATCAGAGGGGAAAGGTCATATGGACCCTCTTGGATTCTCCAATTTGTACTGCCAGTGAATGGCAGGATGCCTAACAATAACAACAAAATGCTTGAATGAATCAACCACTGCACATCAGTTCAAGCAGGTTGAAGGGATGAATGAGATGCACAAGGGGGATTTTATACTCTTAGTATGAAGGCATGCTTTCTTGAATAAGGCAGGTAGCCTCCATTTAATGGAGTCAGAACACTGAAAGGAAAAAGCAGGCTTCATACCTCGTCCCCTTGTTCTGTTTAATTAGTATGTATTTCCCTTTCATCAACTTAGTTTGTTGATTTCTGTTTAGAAAAAAACCCTATCTTTAGAAAGGGAAACAATAGAATTAAAACAGATTTCATCTTTTTTATCCCTTCACTGCTCAGATTGAAAATCGATGGGCCATAGCTGGTCCACAGGATGTTTGGCCCACGCCTTAAATTTTTAAATACAGTCTCCTAGAAATTTAAACTGGGAATTAACCTAAAAACGAAGGTTTCTTGACTTCTCTTGGAAAACTGGTTTGGGGCCCATTTAATTCTCACATGGCAAAATAAGCCAGAGCTAAGTGAGCGCTCAGCTCAGTTCAGCACCGTCCCCACCCCATAAGCTCCTGACTCACTGGAATTTGTGACCTTGCCCTACTCCTAAATTCAGGCCAAGAATGGTTTTGCATGCCTGATAATGTTCTCGGGCCTTTGCTTCCTCACCCAGAGTCGTGATGGAGGTCACAATTCCATTTCTGGCTCAGGATATGCAGTGACCGGCTGTTTCCTGGTTCCCGAGTCCTCAGAGCAATTAAGTTCTAAAAAACCCTAATCCTCCTTCAAAGACTATAGATCATGTTCCCTGGCCAGGACTTGCTCTCAATTTCTTTGGATCAAAATGGGGTTCACCGAGTAACTTAAAGGCCAAGAAGGGGTTAAGGAAAGGACAGCCTCACACCCAAAGTAAGTATAACCATCAAATACCCTACCCAAGCCATCACACTTGAGAACATGGAAGCAGACCAAAAAGTCCAACAGAGAGGCTTAGCCTCACATCATTGAAATGTGAGGTACAAAGACTTCTCCCTCGTCAGACTCTCACCAGTATTACCCTCAGCCAGAGATTGAAATCATTGATCTGCATACAGAGAGAGGAGGAAGCTAAGTAAAAAGTGATGCTTGCCAGCTCTGTGTATCCTCCACCACCGGTGTGCTAGAAGAAATCCTTACCCTCGAGTGAACATTTGGAAATTTAGTGATATTATTCTTCTTTAAAGCTAAACAGAAAAAAAAAACAAAAACACAAAATGATGGTTAAGTAAAAATGGGATGAAAATGGAAAGCAATTCAACTTTGTGAATAACATTCCCGGGCATGTTAGCCAAGAGAAGAAGAAAGGAAGCCACACTACAAGAGGTGTTACAGAAAACAAGGGAAGGCCGAGCATGTCTCCCCACCCGGCTTTCCGACCACCCACATCCAAGCTGCTTTGAAGTCTGGCTCCAGAAAAACAGTCCGGCAGCAAAGCTGACAATAAACCTTAGTCAAGGAGGTGACAGTCTCTAGCCTTGTTAATAAGTACTGGTGGGTAAGCACACTGCAGAACAGGCAACAACATACCACATCCTTCATTATCTTCAGACACAGACGAGCATACGTAACAAGTGCAATTCAGAGAAGAGAACGCCACAAACTAAACATGTAACCAGTTCCATGTCAATCTCAGCATGGCAGCCAAACAGTGGCGATTTCATATACTCAAAGTATGTGTTTCCTTTGTCACTTTTCTAATCAACAGAGAAGTCTGTTCCTTATTCAGCCATCAGAAACTAAGCCCAGGCAGTTATTTCTCTGGAAAGTGTGATCATGTTTTTCTTTTATTTTCAAGAAGAGTAGCATTTGCCAATAAAAGTTATTTGCTATTAATATTTAGCCACCATCTTGACCAAAGAAGCAGATCCAGATATGAGCTCATCACAGTAGTAATGCCCTGGGTTTGACATGGAACAGAGCCACCAGTGAATAAGCATGAATGAGAAGACAGTGGGGGCTCCCAAGCCTTTATATTCATTGCTTAGTTCACAGCCCTGCTCCAACAGGGAACTGCTGACAGCTGAAACTTGGTCATGACACTCAGAAGGAAAAGAAGTGACTATAAAGCTATGGATTGCCTGTATCAGCTTATACAAGCCTCTAGATCTAAAGAGCTCCCTGAGTTTAGCTTGTACCGTGAGCTCCATCACACTGTGGACAATGGTTACGAACTACATAAGGCGGTTAAGATGCAACTTACAGCTGTGCGTAGTTCACAGCTCCTTCTGTAAATCATTTTGCATCTGTAGAGCACTTTGTATTCCTGAGAGCTTGTACAGCAGCTCATTTTACTATCAAAGCAAGCTGAGCACAAAAAGGTCAGTTTAACATCTGTGTAAATCTATTCCAACACAGTGAGTGCTCAATAAATGGTAGGAACAGTAATTACTGTTATTAGTGACTGTCATTTTGTGTTGAAAGATATTAGCCTCAAAATCTTAAAAGCAACCTAGTCTGTCCCCACCCTGACTCTCAAAGAAGTGTTCCCTTTACTATTTTCTGAAAGTTTCTGTATGTATTAATTCAGCTGGCACACACCATCCCAGCCATGTGGGTTCAGGATGTATGAGCGATGCTCGTGAGTCAACAATTGTGACTGAAACGAGAAACCATGCAGCATGAAGACAACATAAAATGCAACACAGCGGAGATGGCAATACCATGCCAGACTGCTGGGGAGCCCTGACACACACACAGAGGGTCGTTAGAGGTCAAAAAATCCATAGCAACCTTTTAAGAGCATCAGGTGAGAAAGAGTAATAGTTTAGTAATGGTATTCCTCAGTGAGAACAGGTTCGCAGAAAAATCGAGAGCCACGCTTGGCGGTGCGAGCAGTAAAGGGCACAGTCTTCAGCACTGCATTGAAATAACAGTCAAGACAAACAGAAGAGAGTAAGAAGCCACAATCTACTGCATTAGTACATGGTTAGTGCTTTGTTAACCATACCTGGGGGAGGGGGGAGGGAGGGGAGCAGGAAACGGGGAAGGCAACATAGAATATATACCCCGGTGAGTTCAAACAGCCTACAAGAGTTACTCAATCTTTACTCAATCTGGGGCAGGGTTGAGTAGATCATGGAAAGTAGCCCAAGCAGGGAAAAAAAAAAAAAAAAAACAGAACAAAACTGCTCCATAAACATATTTATTTACCTCCTATAGTAGATCAGGTCAGGCAAATAGAAACTGTACATTTCATGAGCCAGTGTCGCTAAGCTGGAGAAGAGGCTGATGAAAACGGAGCTCTGAGTTCTTAACGTGCCACGGCTGGATGCTCCTCTACCTACAAGTCAACCTCATTGTGGCCTGGAGGCTACAACAGTGCTTACCCAAGGAGATCTGTTCTGGTCTTGCTCAGAGCAGAGCTTCTTGCTCCATGGAGAGGAGGCAAGGAGAGATGCTAAAATAGGAAGCTTTACCTGGGAGCCACCTGCCAGCCATTGCAGGGTGAACACAGACACTGGCAGGCAGAAAGGTCCAGAGCACGTGTGTGCCCTGCAGACACTGGCACTTTCATCAGCCACTGACCTACTGCACTTCTCACACTGGCTTACTCTGGACAAGTCATTACTTACTGACTTCCTTTTTTAGTGACTCTTTCTCCTAGTTTATTTCTTTGGGCCTGAACTGATAAAAAATCCTGACTTGGCCATTTTGTAATCCCAATTTTCAATGCTCACTAAGCCATTAACAAGAAATCAGAAATCAAAAGTCTGGAGAGTTATATACATATATATTTTTTAATTAGGACAATTAAGGAAATATGAATAATGATTGGCTTTTTTTTAAGGAACTCTGCATTTCAGAGTTATGTGATAATGGCCCTGTGGGTATGCTTGTTTGTTTTACTAAACAGACCTTATCTTTCAAAGATTATATGGAAATACTTCCAAATGAAATTGCATGTCTTGGATTTGCTTCAAAATAACCCCAAGGGAACAGGTAGAAGCGGATTTGTAACAAAATTGGCCATGAGCTGGAAACTACTGACTGGTGATGGGTACTATTCTCCATACTTTTAAATAATTTCCTCTATACTTTTGTGTAACATTTCCTACCAAAAAGTGTTAAGTATCTTGGAAGTTGACAAACTTTAGGCAACAAACATGAAAAGGCAGTCACTTGTAGCCACTGCCCCAAATTACTGCCCCCATCTTTAATAGGGAATGCAGAAACTCTGATGAGTTGGTTTGAGCAGAAAGCATTAGGCTACAACTTAATCAGACAAGAACCAAGCTGGGTTAGGCACGATTTCTAGCGGAGAGAATGACCATTCCTCAGCCCTCTGGGCTTTTGATCTGTTGGTCCATCCTCATGAAAGCACTGATTTCCTAGCATCTTCACTTACTTGGAATGAGTGAAAAGGCTTTTAAAGAGCATATTGAAAAAACATTCATTGACTGTGGTTAGTACAGTATGGGGCCTGTCCATAAGTAGGCAGATGGGTAGAAGTGGCCATGAGTGAGAAAATGGAGCATGGTGACAAATCTAAGACAACAGAACATCATTAGAAGGAGGAGCCCCAGTGAATGATATTCAGGGTTCCAATGATATTGAGATACCGATAATACGATATTGAGAAATAGATTTTTTTTTTTCTTTTCAGAGAGACTGTTGGAGTTCTTTGACAGGCAGTATACAGGTTACTATAAACATACTTCAAACACTAGCATGGAGTTTCTCTGTAATTCTGCATCTGGATAAAATCAACTGAAGAACTTGTAAACCCTGGACAAAAGCAGTAGCGAAATCTGTAAATGGTCCAGAAACAGTGAGGCCAGTGGGATCTCCATGGGCCACAATGAGGAAGGAAATTTTACCTGTGATAATATCTTCAATGGCACCATCTTTTCCTTCGTATACATGTCTATTATCTTTAACTTGCCGCCTTCTTAATTCGGCAATTAATTCTTGCTGCTGCCTCTTTGATTTGTGGGAAGGAGACTGAGAAGAAAAAAGGCAGAGATTAATGAGGCCAACACCCACTGGAGGTCCGAGAAAATCCAAAACGGGTCTGAGCATTTTGTGACTAACAAGCAGCCTCAGTCTGAAACAGACAGCACCATCCCAACACACTGCTCAGCAGAAGAAAACTTAGGAAGTCTCTGGGAACAAAAACTTTGTCACAAAGAACACACAAAACTGGCAGCCATAGGAAGACCGGATCCCATGTCAACAAAAGGCAGCTAGTCATAGCCACTGACTGTTACACTTCAGCGAAGAGGATCGTGATGAAAAACCCTACAACTGCCAGCCTTCATCGTGGTCTTCACCTGCGCTGTTTCCCTCCATAGAATGCTCTCTCCCATTCCTCCTTACGAAGCCCTCCCCCTACCAAGGCCAGCACCAATGGCGACCCTGTGAAGCCTTCCCCTTCCCGGACACTTCGCTGCTCAGCCAGCAGGTTACCTGGGATGGTCTCTCTGTACATCCAACCAAGATTTAAGTTCCCTATCTCTATAAACTTGGAAATGCTATACAAACATGCTCTCAGCCTCATTCCAGTGATGGCTGAACAAGTAATGAGTGAGCAAGCATCCATCTGCCAAGTTTCCAAGCCCAGGAAGGCACTGAAGCATCCTGTCCCAGTCTGGCTCTCTGCCCCTCTTGCCCGCATGCCTCCGTGGAGCCATCAGGACCCCGCTCACGCGAGGACCACGGCTGGAGCCTGGCACATCTCACCTTTGGGTCCTGCTGCTCCAGCAGAGCTTCCTGCTCCAGGAGTTTCTCCATGAGCGCTTGTTCCTGCTTTTTCCTTAGCTCATTTTCCTCTTCTGCTTGCTGGGTGAAATCAAAAGAAGCAGAAGATTATGTTGCTGGAAATGCTAGCAGTCAAGATTTTTAAAAAGCCCTTCTGAGAGGCCAGGAATTAGAGTGAAGGAAAGGTTTACAAGCTCTACACTTTATTCCTACATATGACTCTGGGGTTTTGCTGTCAGTCTATATCACACTTCTTCAAAACTCATAGTTGAGACTCACCTTTTTCAGAAATTCCTTTCCTACTCAGGCCGCTTCATAGTCTCTCTCACAGATGTGTGGGGACTTCCGCTCCCTACAGTTTCTCTGAAAGGAAGGTCTCAGATTCCTCTCCTTCTGCCCATTCTTAGGGGAAAACCTCCACCCCTGGCCTCGTGTTTCCCCAGGGGCCTCACCGAGTGACACTCTTGGACTCCCTCCTCACTCCTTTCCAAGGGAGGCAGCGGCAAGGTTGACAGATTAGGGACAAGAAATCTAACAGGTTGACCTCAGTTCAGCCCTCTGAGCATCCTCTTTGGAATCCAGCCTCCCTCAGCTTCTTCTAATAGTCTACTGTGCAGTGATAAATCATCTAATTCAGGGCTGAAGTGTAAGCTCACAGAGGTACACCCTATCCTCCAAACCAGCTTTTCTCAGTAATAAACTTTACACTTTCACCTTTGTTGCTTTTGTCTCAAGTTTCACTTTGGTTCACAGTTAGGAAGAGAAAACATCCTAAAATGCTAACATCTGCCCACCAAGTCCCTCGGTCAGGGTCAGGCCAGGCAGTTATTCTCTATGTAGTGTGTTAGGGCAAGTAGAACATCTGGTCACATCCCTGCCTGATGAGTGCCTCACGGAGCCAGTGAACAGAACCCCGGGGAGAAATGATAACATGGAAGGAACGTGCTGAGAAGCTCTGACCTGGGACAGCCCACAGACCACCAAGAGTGGCACCTCTTCTTTGTCTCCAGACTTGGAGACCAACCAGGGCCTCTTCCCAGCTTGTATTATACATTTGTAAACAGCATATATTTTCTCTTGAGACCTTAGACTTACAATTTTTTATGTGAAGAAACATGGTCCCAGCTCATAACCAGAGCTGGCTCAAGCCATCTCTGCACCCGAGCCAGGGAGCTGCAGAGCACCTCGGTCGGCAGGCCCCGTGCCCAGCACTTCTCACTGCTCGCAGCCCCTGGGATCACGCACGTGGGCCTGTGCTGTGCCTGTGCTCACACTCACATAAGCAAGGGGAGGCCTGCCTTCTGCTGGTCGTATCACCGCTACACTAAGCCATGCTGAGAGACGAGGGCTGACTAGCGGGAACCTCGTGGCTTTCAGTGAAAAGGCTCAGGGATGGTTCTCCAAAGCCATCAGGAAGGTGAAGGGACTCACTGTTTCCAATCACATATTTCAGAAATGTCCACACCCGTCGCATCCCTCCCCGCTCCACCATCACGTTCCTCCTTTCTACACCAACATGACCCAGGTGAACATGCAGGCAAGCCTGGAGAGCAGAGATTGCACTGTCTTCCTGTGCACTTGCGTGCTCAGTCATATCTGACCCTTTGTGACTCCATGGGCTGTAGCCCACCAGGTTCCTCTGTACATGAAATTCTCCAGGCAAGAATACTGGAGTGGATTGCCACTTCCTCCTCCAGGGGATCTTGATCTTCTCTGCCCAGAGATCTAACCTGCATCTCCCGTACCTCCTGCATTGGCAGGTGGATTCTTTACCATTGCTCCATCTGGAAAGCTGAGCACTGAAATCTCATAATGCTCTCCTTGGCTTCTTTTCTCATCGGACACGTTTTTCTGACACAGATCTGAGTCATGTGCTTTTTCAAAACCATGGTCTCACGGTATGGGTCCCAGGGTATGTCACAGAGGGCGTCTCATTTAAAGGAAGGGCCATTATGGGTCCAGATAAGGAAACAGGGAGCAACTATCCTTCCAAGAGCCACCTTTCAGCCCACACTTAGGGAAGTGCTGGTCCAGAGGCCTGTGGTCGCGAGCAGGCCCAGCACGAGCAGGCTGTCCCTGACCTCGGCTATGATGCTGAGGCTCACTCCTCCTACCCTTGACCTGCTCCACAACTCCACAGGAGGCCTGGGTTTCTTAGTCCTTTGACCTGCCTGCAAGGGTGACAGTTGACGTGGCATCTTCCAAAGATGGCTTTGGATGGTCCTGGGTCTCCCTCACCCCATGGGATAGCCAAAGGCTTTTGTGTGGGGGCTGAGCCCCTGGCTGGGCAGGTAGAAACAGAGAGCATGACAGTCTGAGGGCCTAAGCAGCAGGGCCAGAAACTGCGTCTCGTCCTCCCCACCCAGATCTGCCACCTGAAGGTCCGGGGGAGGCCCCTGCAGAGCTCTTAAGACTGCATTGCAGCTCCAGGAGGGCAGCCACTCAAGAAATAATGCCAGGGGAGGCTTGACAGACACCTGTTTACCTTATAGGCTTTCACAAACCGGACAAAGACGGGGAAGAAGACAGATGGGGGTGTTGTCTTGGGGTTTTCTCCAAAGTACTTCACCACGTCATCAAAGGCATCCTGTGAAAAAGTGAATTTCTCTTAAATGTCATTTTTTCCAGCATTTGAACTTGGGAAAGAGCTGCAGGGGTCCCTGCAACTCTCTGGCCTCTGCCCTCCCTCACCTCCCAGGATTCTGCACAGCCTGTGTTTCCTGCCAACACCTGGTCAAAGGCAACCCAAAGAGGCAAGAGTGCTGCACAGCATCCCATCCCGGGACATCCTGCCACTTCTACACACACACACACAGATAAGGAGCTTCTCCTTACAAGAGTGTCCTCAGGCCATGGGAGGACTCCTTAAAGTCAACCACGTCAGAAGGGACCTTAGAAATTGGTCAGACTCCAGCTCACTGCTTCCACGCTCCTTCCAGGGGTCCCACAGCCGGGACACTCATGTCTTTGCCTGAATCCTCCTGGGACACAAGGCAGCCGGCCTCACCCGGGAGCCAGCCCAACACGTCTGCTTCCCGGGTTCCCTTGACACAGCCTTCCCTTTCTGTGATGGTGTACAGTCCATTCTGGCTGCGTCTCAAGTGTGTAACTTGACCCCCAGCGTGGTAAAAGATTTCAAGGACAAGTCCCACAGAAAGCCAACACTGTGAACACTGCTCTGCCGAGCACAGGCCTGACATGCGCTGGTTGAGCTTAACTGAACCTCATGGTAAAGAGAGCCTAGGAGTGGAAGGGAAGGGGGGTGGGCCTCAAGAAGAAAGGGTGAAGACGTCAAATTAGAAGAGGACAATGAGCAGGACAGGGACAGCTCCAGGTACAAATGCAAAAAGATCCTCTCCCCGCTGAGCACAGTTACATAGGATATCTACCCTCAGCAGACAGAGGGGAATTTGCCCCCCAGTCGGGACAGGGCCGCAGGTGGCTTTACGGAATCCGACCCCTCCTTCTTCATGGAGCTGGGGGGCACAGACCCTGACCTGGGCGATCTTGGCATCGTCCTGCAGCTTCTTCAGCTTTCCCTCGTTGTTGAAGATGAACTCCTTCAGCAGTGTGTTGTGGTCATGCATGGTGTACTCCCTCTTGGTCAAGTCCATGCCTCTCTGCAGCTCCTTGACGTCCAGTAAAACATTCTCAAGGGACACTGAAGTAGAGAAAGCAAGGTCCCCGTGACTTCAACGGGAAAGGTCAACGCCACGCTGAGTTCTCACTGGGAAGCCAACTTCTCAGTGGGCTACCAGGGTTATGCAAGAGCCTGGGATCTGCTCTCCAGTCTTCAGTGAAGAGATGCTTCAATAGGAGTAATTTACTAAGCGCTCACCATCAAGCACTGCAGTAAATCCCTTATAAGCACTAATTCATTTGCACCATCAGCCCACGTTGCTGACGAGGGAAAGCAGCACGAAGAAGTTATCTGGGCTTCCTTAGGTCACAAGCTAGGAGGTGGCAGATATGGAGTTTGGATAACAAACATGGACCCCAAATCCTCTGTTTGTTTCCAACTATTCCACTCCTCTTACTGGACATGATAACCTATTGCTTAGCCTATAGGCGCAGAGGTTCCTTAACTGACAGGCCCAAGAGCTTATCCTCTAACACGTTGAACGCTTCTGCATTTTTATGACTCTCCAGCAGGGAGCAGCATTTCACCTACCGAATTTCAGTTGTCCTGACCAACAGGCCCCAAAGCAACCTGGAACAGCTTCTTTTTGCTCAACAACCCTTCCGTGCTTCAGAAGGGATTATGAGCAGTGCTTCAGAAGGGATTATGAGCAGGAATCTTTCCATCTGCAGTGTAGCCATCCTCCCAGAGTGGGTTCACCCCTGCAGCCTCCTGCAGGATGTCTGAGCCCCACCTCAGGCTCCCCACTTCCTGACTCAGCTCTGCACAGGGAGGAATTATAGAACAATGTAGCATGTTTTTCCCTAGCTAGACCCACACTGTGTTATTCATCTCTGACTCCTCAGTGCTTAGGCCAGTGCCAAGTACAAAGCAGGAACTCAGAAAGGTTTACTGGCTAAAGGAAGGAGTGAATGAATAAACAAGGGGTAGGATAAAGAATCTATGTCACATATCAACCTTAAAAATGCATTCCAATATACATTAGGTGCAGACAAGTACTGTTTGATTCCATTATATATGAGATATCTGCTGCTGCTGCTAAGTCACTTCAGTCGTGTCTGACTGTGCGACCCCATAGACGGCAGCCCACCAGGCTCCGCCGTCTCTGGGATTCTCCAGGCAAGAACACTGGAGTGGGTTGCCATTTCCTTCTCCAGTGCATGAAAGTGAAAAGTGAAAGTGAAGTCGCTCAGTCGTGTCCAACTTTTAGTGACCCCATGGACTGCAGCCTACCAGGCTCGTCTGTCCTTGGGATTTTCCAGGCAAGAGTACTGGAGTGGGTTGCCATTGCCTTCTCCATATGAGATATCTAGAATAGTCAAATTCATAGAGTCAGAAAATACATTAGTAGAGGCCAGGGGTTGGGGGTGGGGTGGGGAAGGGCAAAGGATGGGCAGTTAGTGTTTAATGGGGACAGGGATTCAGTTCAGGAAAGTGGAAAATTCAGGAGATGGATCATGGTGAGAGCTGCACAACAAAGTGAATGTACTTACACATTCACACCGAACAGTGCCCCTGGACTGCATGGGTGAATATCGTTAAATGGTATTTTTTATATTATATGACCTCTACCACAGTAAAAAAAAAAAAAATATATATATATATATATATATATATATATATATATAATAATAAAGGAATCCAGAGTGAGAACACAGAAAACAAGTCTGTCAGAGAGCACCTCAATCTCCCCAATCTCCCCCACTGGGTTTTTTGAAATGACTCTTTAGGGGAATCTCATTAGGGCCAAAATGAGCTATAGGAAATTTTTAAACTTGTTTTTTCTTAGTTAGAATTGTGATGCTAAAACCCCTGAATTTAGACAAAGGGAAACTTGAAAAGGAGGAAAATCACTCCACCAGAAGAGAAATGCATATGAGAAGACAACCGAGTTCAGGTTCCTTTTGTTTTTAAATTATTATCATGTATTTATGGCCGCGCTGACTTCTCTTGTTGCAGAGCACAGGCTCAGTAGTTGTGGCACACGGGCTTCATTGTGCCATGGCTTGTGGGATCTTCCTGGACCAGGGATCGAACTCATGTCTTATGCATTGGCAGAGGCGGCTTCTTAAAACCACTAGACCACCAGGGGAGTTCCTCGAGTTCTGTTTCTATCACTTGCTAGCCATGTATCCTTAGGCAAGGCATTTAACCTATAAAAAATGTCAAGTTTTCTCATTTGAAACATAGGATGCTGTTACCTTGTACAGAACCCCAATCGCAGGGTCACTGGTGATTTATGCAAGAAAATTCCAAACTGTCACAGCAAAGCAACAAGAAATAGTGCTGATAATTCAGGCTAAACACAAATGTTTAGAACTGCCACACCTGAGCAAGTAGGACGGCACAAAATCTAATTAAAGAATTTGTTGGGGGGTGAAGCTTAGATTCTCATTCTCTTATTTCACATGGCAGCAACAGGGACCTCCCTGGTGGCCCAGTGGTTAAGATTCCATGCTTGCAGTGCAGAGGGGCACAGGTTTGATCCCCAGTCGGGGAACTAAGATCCCACAGGCTAAGAGGCATGGCCAAAAAGTGAAAAAAAGAAAATGACAGCCACAGAATAAAAAGGGCAACAGATGGAAGAGGGAAGTCACATGAGCCCAAAAGACCTGGATCTTTATAAAGAGGACACTAAGGTCACCGTGATGTCCACGCTTATTACTGATCCCAGGAAGGAGCAGCACCAGAGCCGATGTGTTTCAGCTCAGAGCCTCTGATATTTTAGCCTCACTTTCATAGAAGGGTTCTGAGGAGTGCTATTTACACGGGGAGAATGGTTCCCCCATGACGCAAGGCATTTACATCCAACAGTAATGTTACAAGCTGAAATTGAGTACCTGCAGCTGCTTTCTCCACATAATGAAGCTCATTATAAAAGAGGGACACTTGTTGATATTTTTCTTTTACGACATTGGATATATAGTGCAAAAGCGTTTGCTTTCGGTCCGTTGACTTCGTATCTAAGAGCTGAAAGCCAGAGGGGACACGGGTTAGAGGGAAGATGATGTTCTCCCACTCAGAATAAACACCTGCGCACAGGAGCCCCAGAGGAGACGGAAACCACCCCACAGGAGAGTCAGCTTGGTTCCCCCGTGAACCAGCCCGTGGATTATGAAGTGACAAGAGGGCTTCCTGACCAGGGGATACACCCAACTTCAGAGACGACCCTAAGCATGAGAGTCGTTCACATTTCTCTCCTCACAGGAACTCCCAGCCCCCATCCGCTCCACCGCCTCCCCGCCGCTAACAAGCAGCAGACTCCAGCCTCAGTGCTCCCCAAGTGAAGGCCAGAGTGGGGTTGAGGCTGGAACGGGCAGGTGAGCAGACGTGCACCCTGGCAGGCAGAGGTCCTTTCCCCACAGTCCTCACATCCCACTCGGCCACTTTTATTTCCCAACCCAAAGCAGATGTGCTTAACAGTCCATGGCCTCCTAGGAGCCAGAACTGAGACTTAATACACACTCCGTGTCAAATAACCGCATAGCCCCGAGCCGGGGACTCCACCCACTGCCCCGGAGGCTCCTGTGAAATCATGGTACCCCATACAGCCTGGGGTCAGGGCTCCACAGAGCGTTTTCCCTAGCCCCATTCACATAAGTCAGGTGACTGAAAAGCAGAGTACCCTTCTCCATCCAAGAAGGGGAAAAAAAATAAATTTTTAAGACAACATAGAAAAATAAAAGGGATCGGGCCGAGAAGGAGGTGGGAGCGGGGATCGGGATGGGGAACACATGTAAATCCATGGCTGATTCATGTCAATGTATGACAAAACCCACTACAATATTGTAAAGTAATTAGCCTCCAACTAAAAAAAAAAAAAAAAAAAGAATCTCTAAAGAATTTCCTAATTCCATTCAACCTCTCTGTTAATACCTGACCTACTTCCATTTGATTTTTTCTTCCATATTTTACTTAGTTAAAAATCAAACTGTCTAGACAACTTATACCCTTTCTTTCCTAAACACCAAATTATCTATTCCTTTGAAAACTCTTCACAAATATTCTAACACTTAAAGGAGAGCTCATTGGAACTATTACTACAGCAATATTTAATCATTTCCCCAAATGTCCAATCTTTACATTGTTGCTAACTGTTTGCAATTATAAATAAAATAACAGAATCCATACTTCTGACTCCTGAGGAAAGAGTCCTAGAAATGAAAATACTGGGTCACAAGGTACGAGTATTCCTAACGTTTGAAGTGCCTGCTGCCAAATGGTGTTTCAGAAAATTTGTACCAACTGATCCTCCCACTAGCAGAGAAGCTTCGTCAAAATATCCCACCCCGCTTCCCAGAGCAGAACCTCTCTGCTCCAGGGTTTAATCTTTGCCAGCTGTTTCATCTCTCATATAACTCTTGTATTTCTTTTAACCCACTCACCAGATCTAAACTCTGAAGTTTAAATCCATAAACTGCTCCTCGTTTACTGCTATTCATATAGTTTCCAAGGGCCAAGATGATCTGTAAAGAACAAGAGAAAAGAGAAGCCCATCAGGACAGCATCTCAGGCATTCCCCAGCTGAGGAATGCAACTGACAAGTCAGCTCTTCCATACGTGCATAATGCATAAAAGGAAAACTTCACTTGCCTCCAGGATTTTCTTGAGTTTTTGGGACGACTTTATAGAGACAGATGCTGCTATAATTGAGTGCAGTTGCTAGATTCCAAGTCAAAGGAAAGAAGAAGGGGGGGAAAAAGACACATTAAAAATGGGGAACTCTAACTGAAAACTAAAAATTAACACAGAAGAAAATAGGCCTTCATTTAGAACTTAGAGCCTTAATGTTGAGATTCTATTTTTTCCTAAACGTAACAAATTTAAGTTGTCCTGCTAGGTCTTAAGTAACTATAGCATCACATGTAAGCTCTTCTCTAAATAGGAAGCATTATGAGAACTAGCTTATCATAAAATCTGTAAGCAATGAGACTTAAAAGTTAGGAGTCAACAGCGTCTTTCAATAGAATTCAATTCCTTGCCCACCATCTGTAATCATGTAAAACAATTCATATTTTTAAATCAATGGAGCTAGCCAAGAACAAGAACAAAACAAAATAGCAAAGAAATACAATCACTGTGCAGAAATTCTCGGAATACATGCTACTATAACCAGCAATTAACAAACATTTATTTAGAAACAGAACTGGGAAAGAACTATTTATGATATTCATAAGCCTTTACCAGGTTAACACCAAGGAACAAGAGATGGTTGGCTATTATTTCTACATCACCACAGTGTATTGTAACAAACTTCCAAGGAAGAAGACCACTCCCATGGCAAATTTAATGCTTCCAATGAAAGCCAATAAGCCTGTTCACTAAAGACATGAGATCATTTTTAGAAATGAAGTTACATTTTCAGTCTTGCTAACCAAGCCAGAGGACTGGTACTTTGAAGAGGGAACCAAATTTGAGAAAATGATTTTCCTTGTTCTCTGTATTGAAGTTTCATTTGAAATCCAAAGGACATTCGCAAACACAGGAAATGGCATTCTCTGGGGAGAACAGCCACATGGAATAGGGAAATTCACTGTTTTCAAATTTACTTGACATACACAGTGAGAAAAAGATGGCAAAAATAAAAATGTCATCTCAAAAGTTCTGGGAAGGCATCTTAGACTCCATGATATGAAGTGCAATTCTGCAAGAACCATAAAAAAAAACAACAAAAAATTCTATCTCTTTGCACCCCTCCATGCCCCTGCCAGAGCTGGGCCACTCACTGGAGTCAGCATTTGAATGCTTTCAGCAAAGTTCCCAATGAAGGCCATGATGGTCATCTTCTGCATGAGCCTCTCAATTTTACTGAACTGCATCATGAATCGGTCTTCATCCGACAGGTTTTCCAGGGGCTTCCGTTCCCGCTCATAGAGCCGAAGCACTTTTACCTCATTCTCAGTTGGCAAGAACCTCATCAAACATTCTACAAAGTCTACAGGCAAGGTCTTCAAGTCAAATCTGAAGACAGAAGTGGACATGTCAGTGTTAGAGAGAACCTCCTCCCCATCTGGTCCAGCTCGTGAATGAGCTGATGTCTGCAGCAGGCTGATGTCTACAGATGTGAACATGCACGCTGGAGCTGGCTCCTGACTATGCATCAAGGACCTTCACTGGTCCTTCCTGGAAACCTGGACCACAACTGCCACAATCAGTTTTCAGGCTACTAGTAGCTCTAAGCCTCTGGGAACCACCAATAAATGACAGGAGGAAAAAGCAGAAGGAAGGCTGAAAGTCTGGTGGTTAAGTGGTTCAAGGACATTTTTTAGGCATGTGAAATACTGCTAATTAAAGAGATACAAATTATATGCATGATTACAGAATATCTGGTGAACTCTGTAAACGATTTCAAGTAGACCAGCAAGTCTGGGATATTTTTCCTTGTGTTTAGGAAAAATGCATCCAAATACCTATAATAAATGGATGTTTCGCTTAAATGCTCACATCCATTGAAAGAATACCAGGTCTTTGTGAACATATGCTCCATGTGAACTTAAGAAGTATGTGCTACTACCTCTGTTTTATTCTCTGGACAAACTCTGTTCAGCAAAACAACAGAATTACATTTAATCATGACAAACAAAATAAATACAGATTAAAAACCATAATGCATATTAGGTTTCAGCGCCAGAAATCAGAACAGAATCTCTGATCAAAATTTATAAAACATCAATGACAAATTAGCTCCTAAAACATCTGATAACATCCATATCATATTTGAAAGTTACCACAAGTGAAAGAGTAGAAAAATCCTTCTCACAGAAGAGTAAATAAAACCAATGCCATCTCTGCAGTTCACAGATAAAAAAAAAAGAACTAAACTTGGTTTAAAATGTCTGGAAAGTGCTAAGGAGCAACAGGAATCACATTCCTATTGTTATGAATTAAAATATGCATCTGTATCCTATTTGCATCTGGCATTGAGTTGAATCATTCCACAAATGCCATCAAATTTGTACTCAGCAAATCTGGATAAAATTCAGATACTCCACAGAAAACTGACATTTTCTTCCTTTTCTTAACATCTGCAATACTTCTCTCAACTTTCCTCTTATGTAAGTGTTGCTGTAGGCATATATAAGAGAGCTGCTGCTGCTGCCAAGTTGCTTCAGTCGTGTTCAACTCTGTGCAACCCCATAGACGGCAGCCCACCAGGCTCCCCCGTCCCTGGGATTCTCCAGGCAAGAACACTGGAGTGGGTTGCCATTTCCTTCTCCAATGCATGAAAGTGAAAAGTGAAAGTGAAGTCTCTCAGTCATGTCTGACTCTTAGCGACCCCATGGACTGCAGCCCACCAGGCTCCTCCATCCATGGGATTTTCCAGGCAAGAGTACTGGACTGGGTTGCCATTGCCTTCTCCGATATGAGAGAGCAGACCAAGATAATAAATGATGTCATGATCCAATTGTTGTTCTTCTAAGACAAATACTCAATCTAATACGGCACCCCCATGGGCCATTTCTGGTCCATCATTTTATCCTAAATTTACTAAGATATAATCTTCCTGAATGCCCTGAACTTACACATGAATAGCTTTACATATCTCTTCAGCAGTCTTTCCAGCTTTCCTTAAAGTGATGGCAAGATTTTTAGCCCTGTTTGCTTCTAGTAATGTCACTTTATTCGATCCTTTCTGCGTTATCTTCTGTTTGCTTGAAGAAAGATCAATGGCAGGACCTTGGGCTTTTGTCTTAAATATTTCCTCAAATTCATCCACATTTAAATCCTGGGGAGGAGAGGAATGAAATAAGCAAATTAGACCATACTTAAAAATGAAGTCAGGAAGCCACCATTTGGATGGTCTTTTAAACATCAAAAAGGTTACTTTTTCTACCAAGTATAGTACTTGTTTTTGGCCACAGCTTAACTCTATTTCACTATTTGAACAACTGATTCCAACCAGTTAATTCAATTGCCTTTCAATTACTGGCTTGTAGGGATGGCCAACACAAACCAAAGCTATCCACCAAACCAACTACTGGGTGTGATTATTGAGTCCTTTTTTATTTACAGTTCAATAAAAGGTTTTTGTGCCCTTTTATAAATTAAGGGCAGAGATTGTGTCACTTTTGTCAGTACAGTGAAGATGTTCAAAACTATTCCATTTTAATGTCACTTATTAAACACAGTTTTAGAGCCACCTTATAAAACAGCATTCAATTTTATTCTCCTTTTCTTCTTTTACATCAAGACACTTAAAACACTAGCTTTTATGGCTGAAATGTTCAGGTTAACACAGCACCCATCCTGGCTTTGCTGAACAGAGAAGGTCCCTTGTTTCTACCCAATGAGAAAGATACCTCCAGAATTCGTTCATCATCAATTTCGTTGAAGACTGTGCCATTGATCTGGTTTGGCTTCAGGGCAACCCAGTTAAAAACTGGCATTCTGAATTTCGTCTTGATTGGCTTCTTAATTTTCACAGCTACAGAGGTCAGAGAGAATGCAATGAAGATTCCACCAAGACCCTTGAGAACAATCACACAACAGTCCTTGCAGATGACACCCTAACCCTGGAGGAAGACTGGCAAGAGGTGGCCAGGTGTTTTTAAATATGGAAAACTTCATACAACGCTTTGGCTAGAGCAACTTGAGGTCTTCATTTGGCTGACTGATACAACAGTGTATTAAAGAGGCCTAAGCCCTGGGCTTTTTACTTGTATTTATTGTTTAAATGCAGGCAACTGGATGGCTGAAAGACAGTCACAGTGTCAAGACAATGCTTAGCACAAAGTGTCAGGGAGTAAAAATTATTCTTCATGTTATTAGATAGCAGAGAGAGCAAATACCCTGTGTCATTTGGTTTGACATGCGTGAACATGAGTGTAATTTTGACATCCTAAATTTCTGGAAAAAAAAAATCTTCAACGATGATCAGAGGCTGCAGATAGTATCTGCCTAAACCACCAGGAATGAAAGGTCCAAAAGGCTGCCTTTCAGCCACAGCAACACAACCCTATGGATGATTCCAGTCACGGGGATTATACTGGCTGCTGAGTTATTCCAAACAGACTAAGGGCCATGCATGTCCCCAAACAGAAAATGTATAAGAAGACAAAAAGGGTACTTAGAAATGGGGGTTTGCATTGCTTTTGTGAGAAGGGCTGCAGTCTCTGCCCCCTCTTTCGAGAAGCAACACCTCCCCAGGAGTCAGCTACCTGCAACTAGAAGGTAAGAAGGCACTCATCAAAAACACTGGAAACCTCTTAATAGAGAGGAAGGGTTCCATCTCTGAGGGGATGGGAGGTGGGGGAGAGGGGGTGTGTGCTAACTCCTCTTACTTTGGGGAAATAAGCTAAAAAAGATAATCCACTAAAAATTCCATTAACTACACACCATATAGCAGTCTTCCTAAACCAACTAGCTATAAATATTCACCTTCCAAGTCTGTCTCAGGATGCCCACCACACTATTTGGGAAGGGAGGGAGAAGAAGGAAGTTCAGTCAGTACAGAATCAAAGAAATGTAACACACAAGTGGGCTTTTACCTGGCTGCCTGCCTGACTGCAATAAGGGGGACGGACAGTGCCTCTCGTTCCTCCAGAGTTACGAAGGCCACGGAAACAGCAGGAATGTCATTTGACAGATCCACACAGAAGCATGCAGGGACACAGAAACACAGCTTTCGCCACACCAGGCCGTCCACCCCCAAATGTGACACCTTAGTCCCCACTGCCTGATGGCAACCACGTTTGTCAACGCTGCCCGGGAAGAACCATGTCCGCCAGAGGCCGAAGGACCAGAACTCCCTCCAGTCTGGCACCTCAACAAAGTTCAAGGAGAAGAGGTAGGGGTTGGGGGGCAGGCTGCACCTTCCCTTCATGACCTGAGGCGGCCAGGTCAGCATCACCTGTTTCCATCATCCCTCCAGGCCGCAGGACACTCCCTACAAGTCACTCCGTGGGCAGCCATCCTACTTCTAACTCTTTCAGCAAGATTAGGAATAAGCCTGAGATCAGAGCACAGGCCAAAAAAAAAAAGTTCTCTTCAGAAAGGTTGTCCTGACCCTGAGGAGGTGGGGAAGGGGGGATGCGATTAGCAGAGGAGGGGTCATTAGGTGACCATGTACCCCGTGCTCCCAGTGTTCTGGCTCTAGAAAGAGGCTGTGTGTGTGTTGGGGGGTAGGGTCGGGGAGTGACGGTGTTCTGTGGAGACAGCCAGGCCCCAGGTGGAGGGGATGACCAGCACCCAGCTTGCCCTTGTTCTGGGGAGGAGCTTTTTTCTCTCCGTCAGGACAAATCTAAAACCCTTCCAGAGTTGAGGCCCGGAGATCCAACTATGAAAATAAAACTAGAAAACAGTCCTCTTTCCAAGGAGAAAGGAACATGGTGCTTGAAGTCCAGGATGTCTGCCTAAAGGGCCATAACCTCTTCTACAGATTCAGCTAGAACGTGGGTAGCCCTGGAACCACAACTGCCAGCCGGCACCGCGCCTCCCCACAGACACAGAGCAAATGCAATGGCTCGATGGGAGATGGGGGGATGTCACGGCACAGTGTGACCCACGGGGACACATGGCAGACACTCAACACACTCAGGGAGGAGCAACCTACAGAAAAGCTTGATGGGCCCGTCTTTTGTGGAAGCAGAGAGAACAAAGAAAATACAGGAAAAAAAAATTAGATATGGTTAGCGTCCAGCGGCTCAGCAGTGCACATACTCTTAGCAGAGAATTCCACGCTTCTGGGACACATTTCACAAGGCAGCGCAGAGCCAAAAATTCATTTCCATTCAGGCCTGCCTTAAAGACACCCTTACTATATATATATATTTTTTTTTATAATTCTTTTTTAGAAGAGAGGAAAGGATGATTTCATTACAGTGGTCCCAAACATCCGTATTGATCTATACCAGGTATTCCATAAGATCTGAACAATTTTTTTTTAATGAAAAAAATAATCAGCTGAACTCCCAATTCTCATTGTGAAGTTTGAAAACACATTCTTCCAAAGAGACAGCAAAGGGTACAGACCACCCAAGGGCCTGTCATCAACGATCTGGCTGAGAAGCAGGAACCAGATTGATCCAACAGATTTCAGGAGCCATGCCTTATACTTTGAATGCATGCTTCACACTAATAATACTTTCTCTATAAAATGCAAAGCAAAGTCAACAAGATAAGCTTAGGGACCTCCTCCTGGTCCCCTGACTTGGTCACCAAGAACATATTTGCTGATTGCCTACTGAAGAACTAAGACATCCAGTTGCCTACAGATCCAGGAGCCTAGTGATGTCACAAGTCCCTGGCCTCCGGGGAGCCCTTGGTGTATCATCTCAGCTGTCTCTTGGCTCTACGGGGACATCCTGGTTCTGACTGACCTCCTGGTTTCAGAAAGAGCGCGTTACTGAACACACTGGCAAAGCAGCCAGTAGCCCAAAGCAGCCCTCAAAATGGGCTACAACCACTAAGTATTAATGATCAAATTAAGGATGAGTAATGAAAAGAGATTAAAGGCCTTGTAGAAACTGCCCGATCCCAAGCTATCAAAGACTCACAAGGATCTCATAATCCTTACGTCTTGAAAAACAAAACACCTTATAGCTCTTTAGTGGGTGCTCATGGCACTAAAGAGGACTTTCTTCAGTCCCACATGCAGTCCTTCGAAGTGCACAATAGGGGGACATCTTCCAAATGCAGCAACCCCGGCAGGAGCCATGCACGATCGGCTGAACACAGAGTCCCACTGTAAGCCTGAGGCAAATCACCAGAGCCAACAAATTACACAGATGGGGTAGGAGGAAGAACCCAGGCAAAACATTTAACCTGAGAGGCCGAGACTCATTCAGCAGGGAGCCCTGGACCTGACACCTCAGCCTCTTGGCTCTTCTCTCGGCCGCAGCAGTTTCGAGGTCCAAGTCGGAGCCCAGGTGAATGGGAGTGGAGGGTGTACTACACATTAGGTTCTACCAGAGAGAAAGGAAGCAGGACCACAGGAGAGACGCCATGATGACACATCTCATGGTGAGCGCTCCTGGTGCAATCATCCCCGGGCCCAGGTGCACATGACCATGACAAGCTTCCACAACATCACTGAAAACAGCCTGTTGATGCAACAGACTCCTGCGGTTCCTTAATAGGTTTTCTGTTTGCTTATGTTTCAAAATCCAACAGTCTCATTGTGACACTCCTTTAACTTTTGTCCTTCAGAAGCAATAAAAGTTCTACAAGAAAGCAGCAGACGAGGAAGATCTTGAAAAGTTGAAATAAGTCACTGGTTTACTGCCAACACGACTTTGAACAGGCATCTTGCATGACAGTTTTATATGAACAGGGGTGGAAGTAAACACCACAAATCTGATGTAGAACAAGTTTGTTAGGGGTGGTTTGCTGGTGTTGAAAAGGGCTTTAGTCACTACGATGAATTAGTCCTAATGACTGGCCAGTCCAGCTGCTGATGGCACAGGCAGGCTAAGAGAGAGAGGCTAGGAGATCGCCTATAACTAAGACTTGGGGCGAAAGCCTCTGAAAACCACTGCAGCCTTGGAAATGAGACCACTAGAGTGCTTGTTCATTAGAAATAAGAGACCTCACGAAGGGACTGAAACAGATGAGGAAGCAGAACTATCCAATGTTACAGGGATGGCTCCGCAACACTCAAAGCAATTCCAAATGTCAGGGAAACACTCTGAGGGAAAATGGCTTGCAGTATTTTAGAAAAGAGTAAAAATTCCTTTTCATGAGTCAAAAATAAGAACTTAAGATTTCAAGACATTAGAGCAACTCTCTTGCTCTCAAGCCACACCGGCCCCGCCTTACTTCTGATGAGGGAGGAAATCCACACCCTGTCCTGGCAGCAGGAGGACCACGTGCATCATCAGGAAGCATCTCAAGGCAAGATACTGCTGGTGGGACATTTCCCTTCAAAACTTAATTTTGCTATAGTGAATTGTGATGTCCTCAAATGCTCGGAAGAAATGCCTGGAAGCCCACATCAGGCAGTTACACAGAAAGGCATCTTCCTCTTTCACAGATGCCACTGAAAATACCTTCAAAGAAAAGAGCCATGAGCACTGGAAGCACACACGCGGTGTCAGAGCTTGGATGGTCCTGTTTCCTGAGCCCATAAAGATCCCTAGGAAGGTAACCTGTCTCTCTCCCCTTCTCTAGGTGGAGAGAGAGGTGGGAAGACAGTATGAGATTGGAACTTCCACAACAAAGGCTATTGAGAGAAAAACGCCACCTCTGCACGACAATTTCCCCTCTAGTGGCTATATTAGCAGAAATGGTCTTACGTTAAGAGGAGACATGTGATCTTAGAAGAGATCTGGAATTGAAAAGAATGCCTCTAGCTCTCTGGAGGTAAGACAATCGACTATATGTATTGAGTATCTGGTTCTTAAATCTGTGCTCTTACCTGCTAATCCTGAGTTGAAAACCACTGTGGGTGAAGACGTTCCGGGCAGCGGGGGTGCAGAGGGAGGAGGTGGGGGTGGCAAGGGAGGAGCAGGCAGGGTCTCAGCTGCAGGACCTGGGAGAGGGGGAGGGGGAGGAGGGGGAGGCGGGGGCGGAGGAGGCGGGGGCGGGGGAGGCGGGGGTGGCATAGGTGGTGTTGCTGGACCATTTTGCACTGGCAAAAGAAAAGAAACAAATGGGCTTTTAAAACAGAGGAATGGTTTCTCCTGCAACATGCCATGTGTACATAAAGTAACTGAAAACAAAACACTGAAAAGGATAAATGGTTGCTTTTTTTTTCAGACTACAAAATGTCCTCAGTGACAAATGGGGAGTATTCTACAACATATGAAATGAAAGGCTTACAACTTTAATCTCAAAATGTAAACAGTTTTTAAAAATAAATAAAAGAGCATGCAAACAAAAGCAGACAGAGGACATAAATTAGCAGTAGGTAAAAGAAGAAATACAAATATCCCAATACGACCTCAGTTCTCCTGCCAAGGCTTCTTACCCGCTTCAGATGCATCTGATGACAGAGGTAGTGGTGGGGGAGGAGGAGGCAAGGGTCCCGAGGAGGTGGCCCCCAGTATTGGTCCCACGAAATTACCCACTGCCACTTCAGACCCTGTGGGCAATGTGCCAGAAGCCACGACAGGGAGTATGGAGATGTCCCCATCCCCTTTCTTCTGAATTTTAATGGTCCCTTGTTTCTCCAGCTCATGAATCTTTTTTTCTAGGGTAGACTGTCTTTGAATGGCTTCTTCTTTCTCTTTGACCATTTTCCTTAATGTGTGAACCTGGGTATTCGCATCTTTGTAGATTTCCTGCAAAAGAGGCCATGGTCAAGAGTTTGTCTTCACATGACATCTATACATATTACCATTAGATTGGCAAACTGAAGGTAAAGAAAATGGAAAAAAAAGAAAAAGAAGAAGAAAGAAAAAGGATACTTATATATAAATATAGAAAATGTATGGAATTTGGCCAGAACCTATAAAGTCTCATTGTTATCAACTGTTCACTGGTAATGCATGCAATGCATGCATTCTAGCAATTGTTCCTGTTAATGTAGTTCTTTCCTTTAATAAATACAGCTAAGTCAGTTTTCCCCACAGGTGAAGAGGAAAAGGGCAGAGGTAATCCAAAAATAATATTATAGTTGACTTGAGAATATCCTGAGGGTATTCTGATAGTACAGCATGTTTTCCTTTTAGTTTTGTTAAAATTCAATCCTAACTCCTAGATACATATCAGCTAACAGCAGACAAAAGGTCCCTATATCAGACTTGGATAGAAGTCAGACTGGGATTAAAAATCTGCAAATCATGGAATAATCCACTCATGAGTAACCAGGGGCTGACTGTTCTGAATGGATATTTCTGGCCTTCACAATGCCCCCTTGACCAAGCTGAGTCCCGTACAGCAATTGTTGTTAAATTTTCCCTTTGGTGATGCAGTTAACAAAACAGTCCAGTGCTGCCCTCCACTAATTACTTATTTCTGTCTAGGTTCTTAGCAGAAAACAAAGAAGTCACCACTTTCAATTCAAAGGCTGTCCTGGTTCCTTTTCTAAGGGGCCCACAGAGGCTCCAGTGAAAGCATTTTATGGAACTCACTCTCTGGGCCTGACACACGTGATCTCTCACCACAAACCTCTAGCAGGCAGGGAAACATTCTTCACACCCTGTCTAATATTAATAATCTGAGAGTCTGAACTTGAATTGAGGCCATATGCTACAACTTTGCCTCAATGGTGTGCCAGAAAACAAATTTCCTAGAGTTAACTGTGGGACCTGTCAGAATATCAAGCAACACACATAGACATGATAACCATCACATAAAATGTGCCATGTCATTAATGGGGGCATAAAAGCCAGCCATTTGCCTAAAAGCCTTCCAGGCATTTTGGTATTTTTATGTTCAAACACATGGATGGTACCCCCATAAATACCTGACCTGTAAATAAAAACAATGCTAAAGCCAAGGAAAATAGCTGGGATTATCTGATAATAAAATGGATTGATTTTACTTTTGCATTTTTTCTTTCTCTCTCTCTCTTTTTGGTGAATGCCGGTAGGTCTTGCCTGTGTTGTGATTTCACTGTTTCCAAGGCAACCACCAAACCTGGTTTCAAGCAGAAGCAAAGCAAAGAAATACAAAGAAGTGCAAGGTCTAATAAAAATAAATAAGTGGCATGAATTAAATCCATGCTGTGTTTTTCTTTTTAACCAAATGGGTGATCCACAGAATCCACTCAGACTTATCCAGATGGGAAAATATTGTTGCTCCCAAAACCTGTGATAAGGAACTGGTGAACCCCTAGTATCTGATTGCACACACACATAAAGACATACTCTGACTATGAGTTACTTTGGAGTTTCACCTCTGAAATGGTTCCAGCAAATACGCTACATCCATGCATCCCTCTGCCGTGACCATGTATGTGTGCGTGCTAAGTCGCTTCAGTCATATGAGACTCTTTGCAACCCTGTGGATTGTAGCCCGCCAGGCTCCCAGCTCATGGGATTCTCCAGGCAAGAATAATGGAGTGGGTTGCCATTCCCCCCTCCTGGGGAGCTTTCCAACCCAGAAATTGTACCCGTGTCTCCTGCATTGGCAGGCGTGTTCTTTACCACAAGTGACACCTGGGAAGCCCGTGACCATATCCGGGTTCTATCTACTGGGCTAGAGCCAGAGCTGGTTCCCCACAATGCCCATCTGGGGCAGCTGCCACCATCACACTTACCCGAACAACATCCAGCTCCTTGTTCCTCTGCATGAGCTGCTTTTCCAGTTCCACAATCTTGGACATGGCTTCATTCTCCGTGTCCTGCAGTTTTTCCGACAACTGTCAAGTTTAGAAAGGAAAGATTTGTTATGACACAGGATCATTCTGACCAGGTCCTTGGTTTTCAGAAAGCGGAGCTCAGAGACATGAGGGGCCCCTCAGAGTCCAGCATGTGTGCCCCAAGTTGTTTTCTGAAATTGTTAATATTTATAAGATGGCCCTGAACACAAGCTTGTTTCTAACAGGAATTCATCTACAAGGGACTCTTAACAAGACGCATGTGTCAGCTCCTTAGTGCTTCCATATCCACAATGTGTCAATCTCCATTTCTGCAGGGGCCCACAAGAGTAGAGAATAGTGGGTGAGGGAGGTGGACTGGTCACCTTTCCCTCCCTAAGAAAGGGCTATTAGGCAAAAGGTTTTGAAAACTGTTGACTGAGAAAAGTTGGTTCTGTTACTTTGAGTTATCAGTTGAAAAAATACTACTGCTTGTTGTGACCCAAATTATCCCAAAAATACAAAACATTTTGGACATGCTTAGTTGCTCAGTTGTGTCTGACTCTTTTTGACCCCATGGACTGTAGCCCACCAGGCTCTTTAGTCCATGGGATTCTCCAGGCAAGAATACTGGAGTGGGTTGCCATTTCCTTCTCCAGGGGATCTTCCCAACCCAGGGACTGAACGCACGTCTCCTGCATGGCAGGCAGATTCTTCACTGAGTCACTGGGGAATTTCAATAATACAACTCATTTTGAAGGGGTAGTTCAAATAAACAGGTGGTTACGACAATAGCAAATTATTTAAGTAGGGTCATGCAGTGCTGGCTGAGGCTTCAGAGAAAGAGGGGATGAGCCATCAACGAAACAGTTACTTTTCACAAAAGGCTCTAAAACTGGGTGACTTCTGATTCCTTACATCTCACTGATAATAATAGCAAGCAAAGAAAATCAGGGAGGAATGATGAGGAGGGAGAGTGGAGATTTACTGCTGACCAGGTTCAGAATGCAAGATTGGGTGGCAAGAAAGTTCGTATGGGTTTTCCTGTAACATCTTACGGAAAAACCCAAACAAACTTTTTGACCAAACCAATACATATTTTAAGAGAAGAGACAAAAAGAAAAAAAAAAAAGGAAGAGCCTGTAAATTCTCTTCCTAAGCAGGTGCCAACTAAGTCAGCACAGCACTTAATAAAGGGAGGGGTTTTGGAAACTTGGCCATGAAAATTCCCCTTTTCAGACAGATGGGAAAAAGGGAATGACATGGAACACACACATATGAAGACATACCAGGAAATGCAGGGGAAAATAAGTGGGCTGTTTAGAGAGGGAAAACCACACCTCTCCAAAAAGACACAATTCATTTCACAATCAAGGGCATTTTCAATCAGAATTCAGCAAAAGAATCTGGTCTTCACAGTGTTTGGGTTTTCAAGAAGTACCATATTCCTGTTCATTATACTGAGAGGACACTCCTTGAAAGAAATGGGTATGTGGGAAAATTTGCTGATTTCCTTGAAAATGCTACTACTTGAGATGAATCTATTTAGAACCTAAGGACCCATGAGGCAGGAAGGTGAAGACCCACATCATAAGGTCACTGGATCAGCCTGTCGACGGCTTGCGTGGACATGTTTGGTACAAGGTACTCATGTTCAGAAGAAAATACTTCACCAAACCGAAATGTTTGAGTTGTATTTCCTCCCAGGTAATACCAATCTTTTTTTTTTTTTTAAACACCATCCTGTAATGCTTCTGTGCTTATAACTAAAAGGGAAATCTAGATGCAGCAGAAAACGGAGCAGTGAATGAAGGCAAGGCAGTGAGTTTCACTTAGCTGTAAGTAACACATCTGCCTTCTTTGAAAGGGCCCAGAATGGCTTCAGGTTGCTTTCTAGCTCAAGTTGCAGCTCATTCCTAGACTCCACATCCTGCTGTTTGCTGTCATAAAAGCCATAAAAGCTAACATCTATTCTGTTTTGCACCTAGCCAAAACGTTAGCCACTTTTCCTTTTCTGAGAGGTAGTTACATGAGAGATGTTTTCTTCCAGTTCCTCCACCCTCTCCAAGGCTGCATTCTTGGTTTCGGCATCCTCCAGAAGAGCTCCCACATCAAACACATTGTCCAGGTAAGCCTGAATCTGTACCTGCAGTTTGTCACTCTCCGTGTGCTTCAGCTTCTAAAAAACAAAATGCAAGAGAACATGGTGTTAGCATAACTGTCAAATAGAACATAGTTACCCAACAGCCTACGTATTTTTGTTTGTTCCTTCCAAGAGAGGGTTTTCTATCTCATCCTCCTTAGGAAAACTCTGGGGTAATCATCTAAGAGGGTATCATCAGATTACTTTCTGGCACTTACCCTCTCCCAAATATACACAGATTTCTCCCTAATCCTTCCTGTAGATAAGATTTCCCATGCAGATATATTTCAACCTAAAACATTTTTTATGCAGATGAAATCAAGATAATAGAAAAATCATAAGGGAACAGCTGTCACAAGTAACATAAACCCTGAGGGGTATCTGTGTGGTAGAAGAGATTAGAGTGGGTGGTATCTTGCCTGGGTAGTGATGACAGTTCTGGTTGGGGGTGAGGTTGGGAGGCGGGAAAGACACTGATAGAGTTTCTTAGCCTTGGGGACTATTTTGGCACTAATTTCTTGAACCCCTCCTCCATAATTAGATGACTAAGGCACTTGCCCCACATGAGAAGCTCATGGCTCCCAAAGCACAGATTAGGAAGCTTTCTGCCATTCTCAGCATTCTAGGGTCAGGCATCCCAAAGGAAGTCAACCAGCTCTAAGGTAAAATTAGAGGTTGAGTAATAAATCAGTCCATCTTTTTTACAAGTACTGTAATTCATGTCTCTCCCTGGGGAACGAGTGAGTGGTTACAATAATATCTGGCACATGGATGATGCCAGTAGACAGTTACTGAACAGATAATGGTGACTTACAAGGCTGGGTTTTTGTAAACTAATGAAGCATTTATTATATGCTTACATTACTCTTATAACCACTTCTATCTATCAAGGTTCAGCACCAAGAAGCCAGGAAGTTAGAGAAACAGTTTGGGAAAAAATCTTACATTTTTAAGAGGAATTCTGCTCTACAAATAAAGTTTCAGGAAAATGGATCTTTCTCCTGGGTCTAATCTAGAATTCTACATCTTAGCTGTCTTGAAAAGAATATGTTCTATCTTAGTTTATGAGTCAGAAAAGAAAAAAAAATTCTGAATAAGGGCAAAGTCTAGAAAAGAAATGAAGCAGCAGCTTAGTGAGATTCTTCACAAGATTCACAGTGAGTAACAGGTGCTGATGTCACTACCTGTCATATCCTGTAGCCTGAAATGAGCTCTGTGTAGCCATCACAAAACAGAACCCAAAACACCATTAGGAATACACCCAACTTTCATTCAAATATTGCTATTCTCAGAGAATGTAGAGAAAGAGAATAGATGAACCCTAGTTCAAAGCAGGAAAAAACTATTGAATACAATGTGCTGTTAAATATATTAGTGGGTCTTTAACAGGAAAGAAATTTAAACAAACTTTTCAATGGAAATCTTTCATAGCTCCATCTGAGTAGTCATGTATGGATGTGAGAGTTGGACCATAAAGAAAGCTGAGTGATGCAGAATTGATGCTTTCGAACTGTGGTGCTGAAGAAGACACTCGAGAGACCCTTGGACAGGAAGGAGACCAAACCAGTTAATCCTAAAGGAAATCAATCCTAAATATTCATTGGAAGGACTGATGCTGAAGCTCCAATACTTTGGCCACCTGATGCTTAGAGCTGACTCACTGGAAAAGATCTGATGAGAAAATTGAGGGCAGGAGGAGAAGGGGCGACAGAGTATAATGTATTTGGATGGCATCATCAACTCAATGGATATGAGTTTGCGCAAACCCTAGGAGATAGTCAAGGACGGGGAGACTGGTGTGCTGCAGACCATGGGGTCACAAAGAGTCGGACATGACTGTGCAATGCAACAACAACAAACCTGAATGGAGTCTTTAGACAACATGAGGCCAGTCTACTCAAGGGCAGCCTAGCTGGTCTGAGAAATAAGGCCATGAGCTCAAGAGTAACCAACTCAGCGATTCTACCTTTCAATAAACTGAGGGTACCATCAGGGTAGTTCTCTGGCTTCCCCCTTAACAACAATGCACTCTCCAGGTGAAATCTGGAGATGTCCAAGGGAATTACTTGTATTTTCTTCACTTCTAGAATCAGCCTTGAAACTGAGGTCAATAATTCTTGCCCTATCGCCAGCAGTCTTTCAAATTCAGGTGAATCATTCCTTATGCAAAAGGGAAAACAAAACTGCCTAAGTGTCAAAGGACATCTGTGTACACACAGTTACTTAAGTCTACTTATGATTTTCACATCAACTTTGTTCCTAAGGGGAAGAATTTCAGGGAACTAGCTAAGCACTTCTGCAAGGGAGCAAGAGAAAGAGAAACTTTAGATCTCTCTTCTCCTAAGAACTAAAAGCAGAATTTCTAAAGCCACAAACACTTTAAGCAGAATTTAACAGCTACACAAGGAAGTCTCTAGTGTCCGTTTCCTCATTATTTCTTGATGCTCTAAGCATTTAGTTACTCCCTAGAGTAACTAAGAGCACACAGTGCCCAACAGAGCTGATGAAGGGTGTAGCAAGACTTGACCCAGACAGCTCAAAAGCAGAGGACAGCTGCACCAATGCTCCAAGAGGTACTAAATGCTGTTGACAGAAGACAGTGTCAGGTCCCAGGAAGACCTGCATGAATCCAGCTTCCCTGACAGATCACATTGCTCAGACAGGTTCTTTTTTTTTTTTTTAATAATGATATTTATTTATTTGGCTGTACAGGGTCTTAGTTGCAGCATGTGGGATCTAGTTCCCTGACCAGGGATCAAACCCAGGTCCCTTGCATTGGGAGCTCATGGTCTTACCCACTGGACCACCAGGGAAGTCCCCAGACAGGTTCTTTTAACTAGCTCTACAACACATGACTGCATAGAGCCTTAGGTGATCTCTGGTCATTATGGAAGTGCATCTTTGAGGGTCCATGATAAATCAAGTCTCATATTGGAACCAAAGCTTAACAGCTATACTTACATCCAAGTATTCATCCAGGCCTAATTTGGTAAATTCATATTGGAGGTGAACTCTGAAATTCATATCTTCTACTGAGTGGACTACAATATTAATAAACTGCATAGAGGCCACCTGAAATAAAATTGCCAACAGGTTAGAAGAGGTCCAAACTTATTTTCTCAGCATAATCATAGGCATATACTTTCAATTTCACACATCTAAGCTCATTTACCAATTTGCTTTTTCTTTGTTTCACTGGATCTTTAAAAATATTTTACAATAAAAATAATTTACAATTTTTAAAAATGCAAAAGCCCTTGTATAGCATGGGGAGCTCACTTTGATGCTGCATGATGAGCTGGAAGGATGGGATAGAGGCTCAAGAAGAAGGGGGTATATGTATACATATAGCTGATCCACGTTGTTGTATAGCAGAAAGTAATACATTAAAAAGCAATTACACTCTAACTAAAAATAAACTAATTAAAAAATAATTGTTTTTTCAATGAAAAAAATTTTTAAATGTGCAAAAATGCATAGCAGTACCACAATAAGATATCACTTCATATCCCCTAAGATGGCTTTAATCAATAAGACAATAACAAGTGTTGACAAAACATGAAAAAACTGGAACCCTCATCCACTGCTGATGGGGATATAAACTACTGTCAAGTGGCCACTTTGAAAAGCTTGACGGTTGTTCTAAATGTTATTCAGATTTACCATGTTACCCAGCAATCCCACTTCGAGATACATAATCAAGAGAAATGAAAAAATACACCCATATAAAAATGGGTACACAAATGGCCATAGTAGCATTATTTGTAATAACGAAAAAGTAGGGGGGAGAGAATCCCAATGTCCATGAATGGATGGATTTTTAAAATGTGACATATGCATACAGTAGAAGATTATACAACAATGAAAAAGATGAAGTCCTACACATGTTGCAACATGAGTGAACTTGAAAACATTTTGCTAAGAAAAAAAAAGTCAGACACAAAAGACCATGTACATTATGATTCCATTCATGTAAAATATTCAGAATGGGAACATGTGTAGACAGACAGTAGGTTAATAGTTGCCTAGGACTTGGGGTGGGGAAAATAACCACTAGTGGGTACAGAAATTCTTTTAGGGGCAACAAAATGTCAGATTGCAGTCATGATGGCACAACCCTAGGAATATACTAAAAATACATTGACCTGCACACTTTAGATGTGTAAGTTGGATGGTATGTTAGTTGTATCTCAGTCATGTCCAACTCTTTGTGACCCCATGGACTATAGCCCGCCAGGCTCCTCTGTCCATGGATTCCCCAGGCAAGAATACTAGGGTGGGTTGTCATTCCCTTCTCCAGGGAATCTTCCTGACTCAGGGATCAAACCCAGGTCTTCTGCATTGCAGCACATTTTTTACCTTCCAAGCCACCAAATAAGCCCCAGTTACATCTCAGTAAAGGTATTTTTTAAAAGCCTTGTAGGCATATAGAACAAACTAAGTTATTACAGGTACACTGTAAAAAAGTGACAATTATTACAATGAAGAACATTTAAATCATCTGCAATCACAAGGTAATCTCTTCTAAAACCGTACTGGGGGACCCACCATACCAACAGGAGAGCAATAGAACTTCTGATCCATTTTTCCATTTTAAACAACCAACCAGTTTCTATTCCATAAAAGTCCTCGATTTGCTACTTTCTTCCCACAACTGCATCAGTGGCTCTGATCTGCCACAGAGAAAACCTGACCCCAGTTTAGTAAACAACAGGAACAGAGTTTAACGTAGCTATTTTATTTTCAGTAGGGACAGTCAGTTTATTTACAGGGAAAATCTCTCTCTGATGTTCTTCTATAACCACCCAGAGACTAGAAAGGAGGTGTGACTGTGGGATCCAGATTCACATTTACTCTGCAAACTGCTTCACCCTTCCTCTCTCCCCCAAGCCCTTCTTCCTTAACCTTTATTAAATTATTGTTTATCAAGTTAGATTCTTCTTTGAGTATATGTTATCCACTGGGTGTCTGTGGAAGACGTGTCAACTCTCTAGGTTACATGGGACTCTGTTGTGATTTACTAAAAAAAATTACTTGAAGTGCCATGGGTCAATGAGCTAAAAAAGATTTTGTTATTTTTTTGTTTTCTTTTGCCCACCAAAAAATACTTAGAAAGGTCTTATGCAACATCTGAAGCATTTATATTATGTTTTAAGGGAATATGTTGTTTGGGAGGTTTGACAACTTAACTGCATTCCCAAGATAGTTTATGAAAAGCCTCATTATCTGGAAAAAAAATATGGCTGGATTTTGGCATTTTTCTTTTATTCTTCTGAAAGCAGGTCTAAATGATCTGTGAGTATTATCATATGCCTAAAAGGCAAATATTTGCTAGATGGCACAAGAATTGAGCACACAGTACCAATATACTAGCAGCATTTAAATAAGACTCCCAATGCATATATATGTGTGAATAAATGAACTGACAGGAAATATGCTCTCATTTGTCAACAGTGCAGGTGTTCTAAAGGGCTTAACACCATTTATAAATTCAGTAGAAACTCAAATGGCAGAGGGATCTGGTATGTATGATAAATGGGTGAAGTGGGTCATGTGTAATACAATAAGGAATGGTGTGGACTGTGACAAACTGCCACGGTTACCTTCAGACTTAAGGAATGGGGACTACTTAGCGCCAGCACCTTATACTCTGTAAGAACAGGGACCAAGCATTACCAGAACTTATTAATTCTCAAGAAAATCTACAAATCTGTATTTTTAGGTCCAATTTCCAATTTTTTTAATGGAAGGACATCACTGTCAGACTAAACTCACAAGCCTGTATGTATGCTGGCTTCAGCCTGGAGCCTCCAGTTTGCAACCTCAACCATAAAGGAATGAACAAATTCCTCCTATGAAGGCAGAGAAAAGAACCTGGTCAGGTGAGCAAGGGCACAGCTTCTTTACATCTTTGTCACCAGGGCCTTAAACACTCCAACAAAAATCCAAACGACAAGAACTTAAAAAGTCAGTGTAAACGTATTCCTTCTTTCAAATTTATTGTTCTACCTTTTTTAAAAGTATATATACATATGCTTTATGGAGCAGAAAACCTCTATAAAAGACTTCAACCAATACTGTTTTGGGAAAGGGCAAGAATTAGGATGCATATGAAATTTGAGGGCCCAGAAAACATCTTTCATATAAAAAGGGTTAGAAATCTGCAAAGCTACAGTCCATGTTTTGTAAGCACTGAAGCAATTCAAATGAAAACACCTAGCATCATAAGCACAGGTTTTGGAAAACCTGACAACAGAAGAAGTGAACAGGCTATCTGCCCCAGACTAGATGGGATCTGGGAAATTAAGCCCCAGTAAAAGGACTCCTGGGTCCAGAAGATCCCAAGGTCTACTAGACTGGGTCAAACTAGACTGGGTCAACTAGACTGGGTATACTCAGGTGTGACCTGGCTCTGGAAATCCTCTATAGTGGAGTCTACCTTCAGTTCATGATTAAGACTTAAGTACACAGATTCAGAGGTGCTCAGAATCTTTTGCTTTTTGTCCCTGAGGATGACAGTTATGATGCTGAATCACATGTTCTTACATGCGATTTACTCCACTAAGGAGAGGTGCAATACCACTCTGCCCTCAGAGAATTACTAGAGCTGGTAATCAAGTGAGGAAAACACAAAATCACTGCTGTGTGTTCATTTGGGGGATATATACTACCAGGTCTACAAATCAAAGCACTTCAGTCTTGGAGAACAGTCTGGAGAAGGCCACTGGATGGGGTGTGCAAAAGGCACAATGATCCAACGCTCTTGGTTTCTACTTTCAGGATTCTTATGCAGTACTATTGACTTCTCAGGGCTTCCCTGGTAGCTCAGTCGGTAAAGAATCTCCCTGCAGGGCAGGAGACCCAGGTTCAATCCCTGGGTGGGGAAGATCCCATGAAGAAGGAAAAGGCAACCCACTGCAGTATTCTTGCCTGGAAAATCCCATGGACAGAGGAGCCTGGTGGGCTACTGTCCATGGAGTTACAAGAGTCGGACATAACTTAGTGACTAAACCATCACCACCATTGACTGCTCAAGCTGGCTCCTGCTGGCATTTGTGCCAGCTGTTAACTTTCTTTTCACAAATGTGTGGCTTCCCCCTTTATCTGCTAAAACACAGCTGATTCTTGAACAAGATGCGTTTGAACTGTGCAGGTCAAATTTTTTTCAATAATGAAGACTAGGTACTACATGACCCACAGTTGATTGAACCTGCAGATGTGAAACCACGTAACCAGAGTAACCACATAACCACTGTAAGTTAACAGGAGGGCTTTCCACTGTGGGGAGGGTTGGAGCTCCCATTTCCCTGCATTGTTCAAAGGTCAACAAAAGCACTGTAACCAATAAATAATTTTGATAGAAAAAAAAAACCTGCGATAAATGCCATAAAGGTCAAATACAGATGAAGAGAGCAAGTCAAATTTGAATCTATAGCATATAAAACTGCTTCCTATCCTTTGTAACATTATAATACAGATGTATATATAATATATAAATATAAGTGGATTTAGGAAATAACTGATAGATCTGAGTTGGCTTTATTAAATGTAGCACTGAAATAACTCACCATAAAATCTATGTTATTGTCCTCATTCCTGAAATGTTCCATCAACTTCTCAAAGCGTTGTTTTTCTCCACAAACCTGAAACACACATTATCATTGTGCATGTGAAATTCCAAATGTAAGCACTCCAAAATTAGATGCAGAAATTTTAGCACTAACAATTATTTCCAGAACATCTATTTTATCCCCCTCTCACACGCTATTTACTTCTCTCCTGTTAGTTAATGCACAAGCAGCAACAAGAGCCAGCACCAAAGCTCATCCTCTGTTTCTCTGACATGTTCTCTTGATGGCTTGAAATTCATACCAAATGTGCTCTTCTTTCACTGGTCACTTTTTTGTCACATCTTTTTAGCTGGCATTCACAATCCCAGAATGTTGGTTATGGTTTTTTTAAAAAATGACCACACTTTTCCTTTTTACAAAAGTACTTTTGAAACAGACACACTAATGGATTTTTCATAATTTTGTATTTAAATTCCTTGAGAAGCAGATTCAAAAAGTGCATATCATGTCTAACAAGTCTAATAACTATTTGTATTTATTTTTAATTGATTGATGATTGCTTTACAATATTGGTTTTATTTCTGTCATAATAATTTTAAGCATAAACTACAAAATAAAAATTTGGGAAGCTATCTAATTCCTTCAAGATGAGGACAGAATTTTGCAGTCATTTGTGAAGCAGCATTCCAGAGGAGGCCTGAAATACATGCATTCAGCTCGAATGAATGCTTCTGCTGAACAGGTGAAATAAGCAGATAAAATACTGTGAACTCCAAAGTCCCAATGTATTTTGCATATGCTGCTGCTGCTGCTGTTAAGTCGCTTCAGTTGTGTCTGACTCTGTGCGACCCCATAGACAGCAGCCCACCACGCTCCGCCGTCTCTGGGATTCTCCAGGCAAGAACACTGGAGTGGGTTGCATATACGGGGAATTAAAAACATGGAGCTAAAAACACAGTCAAAGAAAGATTTGTATCAAACGACAACAACCTGGAGACTTATGCCCAAAATCAAAAGATGAACTTTAATTCTTTCAGTGTCCTTGTCTGCCTTTTTGTTTTTGGAGCAAAGTCCTAAATCCACTAGTTTATTTCCTTACACCTTGAGAAAATTGTTACCTGAACACCCATGGGCTCCTTGTTGATAGTAAGACAGTCTCTGGTATTAATATTTTGTGAATTTAACTCAGGTTTCACATGATTAGTTTTCTGATTCCCTTTGTGATCTTAGAAATAATCAGGCCAATCCTAAAGATTTCTCCTAAAATGACATTTCATAATGCTATAATACAGCCATTTAATTCTGTCATGTTAAATTCCACGCATGTACACACACACATACACACTTTGGTGAAGAGTGTGTCCAATGAAGGCAGGAATATTATGTTGTGCTCCCTACTCTATCCTCAGCATATAGAACAGAGCTTAGCATGTTGTAAATTCTTAATATTTGCTGAATTGCACTGAAAAAAGGATAAACAAGATATTATGTTAAAATATTCTTAATGAAAGGGTGAATGATCTACTATTGCTCCCCACGATGTTTTAAAATAAAACAAGAACCTTCAGACCTCTGTAGACAGAGACAAGGGTTAATCTTTAGTAGTGGTTCCTGTGCCTTAACTGTGTGCTAGGAATGCTCAGTAGACTCCCTACGCTCTGAAAAACTTCTATTCTCAGAGTAAGTTAATTTTCTCAGCAGACTAGACCACAGCTTACTATATTCCGATGACAACTCCCCATTTATCTATACCCACTTTAACAAAAAATAATTACAGAAGACTGAGGAACAGTGCATGGCCCAGATCAGAATGAAAAGAAGGCTCCAGAAGGGAGAGTTTAAAGTGAAGCCTTTAGAAGACATACATGTGTGTCCAATCCCACCCCAGAAAGCCCAAGTCAGGAGGCCCAGGCAGCGCTGAGGTGACATGGGTGGGTACATTTGAAAAGCACTAGAGACCATTCTGATGTTCTGCAAAGGCTGAGAACCAGAGATTTAAAGGAAGCCACATTCTGCCCTGGGGCCCACTAGACTCTCTAGAGCATATGCTACAAGTTCTGGGAAACTAAGGCTTATTGAAGGGGATATGGAAGCGCAGGATCAGCTCCCTAGACCATGACATCAGTCACATCTTGTGCTCAAAGACACAAGGTTTCCTAGCCTGCAAAAAAACCCCAGCTGGTAAAAACTTGCAAGACTTGGTATATAAAAAGTCAGCATTACAACTTGAATTTTCCTTAAGAGAAACCTCAACATAAGAACTTGCTTCCCAGCAGGACAGTTTACTTTCGTCTGTTTTGGGAGGTGGATATGTTGCAGGGAGAAGTCAATTCTGACTCCATGCTGGAATTATTTCTTTGACTTGGTCTCCATTGCTTTTGTTATAATCATACATAATGGCCTGCCTCAGAGAATCCTGCCTTTCTGCTTGACTGTTAAAGTACCTTTGTTCAGAACCCTGTCCACCTGTAGATGGGAGGAAGGAAGGAACTAACACACCCCCCTGCCTGAGGCTGCCATTCCAGGAGATCTCTTCAAGGTTAATGGCCTGTATACTTTGTTTCCTCATCTCCCTCCCCATCTCTGATCCATAAAAGAACCTGGCATCCAGACCCCAACAAGATGGTTATGCTGAGACATTAGTCTGCCAGCTTCTCAGTCAGCTGGCTTTCTGAATGAAGTCGTATCCCTTGCTTCAACACCTCGTCTCTCGGATTCATTAGCCTGTCGTGCGGTGAGCAGAGCAAACCTGGACTCAGTCACACGCAGTGACAGGAGAAAGAAAGAGAGGTGGTTCTAGATATGGGGACGACAGCTGCCAGCTTTCCTGAGACGCAGGCTGTGATCAATGCTCTGAGCAGCTCAGCGCTCACTGAACCAGGAGAGGCAGCAGCCCTCAGTGAACAGTGATGATGAAGACAACTCCTAGGAGGGCAAAATCTTCCAAATCAAAGAATGTCAGAAATCCCGAAAGTACCTTGGGGAACCTTGTGCCCTCCATTTGTGACTGAGACTGACAGGTAAACAGACCAAATATCTCCAGCTTGATAAAACATCCACACAGAGGCAAGAACCAGGGCTCCAACTGCCAGCCTGATGTTCCTGCTCTCACACAGCCCAGAATGTTCAGAAAAATATATTCCATTTAAGATGATCGTAAAAGCATTTCAGAATCATCTGAGACACCAACAGAGATGGAAAATGTTATCATTAAGAAGCACAATCATTCCTTTGGGCATGCGCTCAATTATCCATGCACCAGAATCTCCCATGGAACTTCTGAAAATGGATGATTCCTAGAGTCTACTCCAGGACACAGTGAATGAGAATCTCCATGGACAGAACTAGGAATCTGTGTCTTTAAAAAGGACTCATAATTGTTGGACCAGCAGTTGGGAACCACTGGTTTATCCAGTATTAGACTAGCTGATTAAAGCCTCAGCCTTTTTTACTCCCAATTGTAAACTAGACAGCTACATCATTAACTCCACAACTCATTCAACTTCTTATTTAACTACACATAAAAGAAACAGTTACTATAACTGGGTATCACAGGAATGAAGCAGGGATTGGCCCACTGTGCCTGCATGGATACAATGAATAATAAGCCAACTCCCAAATAATCAGAGACTGTGTCCAGGGCCTTAAGAAAGTGGATTTTACACAGCTGAGGAAAGCATATGTAGGCAGCAAAGCTACTCAGGTTGTTAATAAAAAGATATGGCATCAACTTCAGAACAAGAAATATTGTATTAATTTTCAGCTGAATAAAGATCTGAAAAGTCATTGTATTAGACTGGTAGAATGGACTGAAATAGATATGAAGAGGAGCCTTGAATATATGCCTTTCTTCAGAAATCCCTCATTCTGTCAACAGACAAAGCCATGCTGAGAACATGTGTTATGAAACAAATGTATTAAATACCTTTAATCTTTAAAAATAATAGACTTAAATGTCTCCCAACTTACAGCTCCTTGGAACTGGGTGCAAAGGATCCAACTGCACCAAACAGCACATTGTTAACACAGATGCCAGCTTGGAGAAACCATGAAAGACGGACCACTCTCCTCATCCACTGTAACAACCAGAAGGGCTCCCCCTATGCCCCACCAAGTCACTCTCTGTAAAGTTTGAGCTACACTGCTCTGCGGTTGATATCAGCTAATGAATTCAGGGTGGTACTTTCTGACATTTTCCCACAGGAACAGTATGGATTCTCGAGGACCCCTTCGTTCCTGCTGGAAAAAAAAAAGGGAGTGTGCAAACCAGATTCACATTTGTTTCTATGTTACTTTAGCAATCATTAAATCAGAGTATACTACAATCCCACAGGAAATGGGAAGACATGTTTGGGGAAGGTTGGTAAAAGTCGTGTTCCACATCAAAGGAGAGTTGTCGTAGCTCCTACAGCTCACATCTGGACCACCCCCGCAAACTTGGTTCAAATAAGATCATCATGGCTGAACATGCCTCTTCTCTCCTGTGAAACTGGCCTCACTTAGAAAACTGGTGAGGATGAAAGGAACGAAACATTGATCCCCAGTTATTTTCCAAATCTACAACAGCTTTCATGAGGCTGCTCTCAAGGGCTTCATCAAAATGTACAGGAGAGCCAGGCGCATGTTTGCATGTATATATTACTGCACATTATAAACTGCTGCATATAACTTCCATCTGCCAACAAAGACCAGACAATCTGAAAACTTCCAAGTAAAACAGTTGTACTATTGCAACTGAAGCTTGTCATTTCTTGACTTCTCTATTCACTGTCATTTCTCATTTCTCCACTAACTTTGACACCTTCCATCGATAACACAGTCACTGGAGTAGGGAGGGTAGGAAGTAAATTTAAGAGACATAGGCATAGAAGGCAGAGATGGAGAGAAGCCTACTACATCAGGAATTAGACTTCCTCAGCCAGGATGGCCAGATAAGAAGTCAACAAGGCAAAAATCAAGTATACACTCTGGGAAAGCACACAGTCTACTGAATACTTAAGAGGTATCTTCATGTATAAGTCATTTATAAATCAGTCCCAAGTGAATAAATTCACTGACCCTGATTAACACTG